TAGCATTGTCACTGGCCATTAGTGCTGAAGGATTTGGGCAAAATATCTTATTGTATTCATGGAATGGTTCTCCATCAATCAAAACCATTTCACAATGCAAAGAACCATTTAATCATGCAGAAGGTTCTTAGAGTGTTCATGCTTCTGTATGAAACCAATTTCTTCATTAAAGATCCCTTTTGAAGAACCATTTTTTTTAAAGAGCGAACTAGTCCTTGCAGCCATTGACGCCCTGTTTGGACCGGATTAAATGTACCCGAAGTCCTGGAGTAATTCTTTTACAGGTGCTCGTCTGTGGTTTTATTGCTGTACAGATTGGTCATTTTAGTCCTGTCTAGACACACATCTCTGTTTTTCTGGGCAGATGTCACCTTGTGTTGGATTTTTGACCGCTGCTACTCACCAGTGTCCTAGCATATATCTGAGCCCCTCCTCCAAATATTAAACACTTATGAATCAAACAATGTAATGCAAAAATGGGCTTTTGAAGAATCACTCAAACTTTTACTTGGTCTGGGCAGTAAAACTTTGACTCTGTGCGCTACCTGGAGCAGGAGGAAAATACATTTAATGACCATTACTTTATATTCACTAATGCACAATTTCATAAAATTATATATATATATATATATATATAAATTTTGTTTCTTTTCTGGAAATATTGACTAGTTGTATCACTGTCAGCTCCATAAAGATCCAGTGTTAAATTCTTACAACATGAAGTACAAACCAACTTCGAAGCTTGTCCTTTTGGTCTTTTTATTGCTGTCCAGATGTGAGAGTTTTAGCACAGAGATGTTGTAGTAGTAGTAATAATAATAATAATAATAATAATAATAAACAAATCTGAAAAAAACAATCCGAATAGGCCTGTAGCTGCTAGGGAAAATGATTAGCCTATGTTAGAATGATATGTTGAACAAAATTAAGCAAAAATGATTATAAACTTGTTGCACAAGTTCATGTCACATCACAGTGCACATTGTCATAGTTTTGCTTTGCAATATTGCAATGTCATGATGCTTTGTTACATCCCTACTAGTCACTAAAATAAGGATATAGTTGTACTTTGAAAACACCTCTCTTCTTCAAAATAGAGTTGTTCTGGCTCTGGTGATGCAGCATCAGCGTTGCCACATGTGCTGGAAAATGTTCTGGAAATATTAGTGAAATCCTGGAAAAATTTGAAGTTGGGCCTTTATGCCACTGTGAAAACAATAACATATTTTTGCATATTTTCGTTTTTGCATATTTTTGCATATTTGTAGCTGCTAATCCCCAATTTGAATGTCCAAGCATCCCTATTGTAGTTTGTAATGCTACAGTGTTGTGTGTGTGGAACGCCTTGAAGAGTGAGGCTACTTTTTAATGCGCCAGCTTCTTTAGTGGGACTAGTGATCAGATGATTGGTTGAGGAATGGTTTATGTGAATGTGTCAAGCAGTGTATCAGTCAGTCAATCGGTCAGTCAGTTAGTCAGTCAGTTATCATTAGGGATTGTATTGTTGACTTTAATGTTAAGAATGTCATCAGTTGTGTCATGTTAAGATGACCTTCCTTGTCATTAAAATAGAAACAATTAGTAAAATTGTCCTGAAATTTGTCTTGTAAAATGACTTCCTAAAAGGAATATGAACCTGAACATATCCTAGCATTAAATATGCAACACCACAAGCTGGTAACAGGATCAAGTTACTTAATATAAATGATCAAATTAACACAACTGCCCTGAGCCTTTGTTTGCAACTGTAATGATGACTAACAAGCTACATTTCACATTTGCCCTGTTTGTTTACATTCAAAATTAGGTTCTGTATTTTGACCAAGGATTGAAAGTGTGTTTAAAATGTAGACTGCCAATCTCTTGCCAATTATATGTGTATTTACCTTCACATTTGCCTGTGACATTAATGTAATATACATGTTGGCAGTAGATGTGTTTGTTGTATGATCAGTGTTGAAACTCCTATCTGGCCATAGAAAAATAATTGAATTTATAAATGTTGCTTGCATAGCAAAGCTGTTTGGTCCACTGCTCCTGCTGCCAGAGTGAAATGCTAGCAGAAGACTCAATTGAGACCCCCATTTCTATTCTCCTAGCGGGAGGCTTTCCTTTGCTGTGTCTCAATGAGGGCTTTGTGGCTGTTCACATCTGCTGCAGTGCAAGAACCACACACACACACACACACACTCACACACGGACAGGCCACAGAAAGGTTTGTGTGTACTTTATCTGGCCCATAGTTAACATCCATCTTTTCATTGAGAGTAGCTAATACAGTGTACAATACAGTGTTTGAGATATGATCAGTGTTGTAGCTTTGGACTGTTGTACAGGGGCTTGATTGAACTCATAATGTGAATTCTTGTCTTTTCTTTACCTGCTATATTTACTTTTTTCTCACGCTGTCAGTTTTCACTGGCTGTTGGTGTTCTGCAATGAGCTGATGGAACAAAAGTTAACTGACTTTAAGGTCAGTGTTTGAGGTTCACGGTATGCTAGTTCAATGTACCGAACTCTCCTTATTCAATTATGCCAATGTAAATACAGTTTTCCATTCTATGGCACTTTTAAATGTGACGTTATCATGATGGTCAATATGCTACAAACTAATGCTAGCTATTTCTCACTGCCCTCCTGCTTGGATCCATCCTCATGCTCCTTAAGTAGCCTTTTATATGATATATGATGCTTCTTATTCCAGTTCCCTTTCCACCTTTAATAGTGTACTAGTCAAGGTAGCACCTGTACAGGCATCTGCATGTTACTGCTATATCATTTAAGGTGGAACAGGAAATGAGAATAAGAAGCTAACTTCAGCTTCATCTGTTCTCTCTGCACTGTACAAGGCTCAATTACAATTAGCAAACTTGGGCTGCACCACTTGAGGTGGAGCCAGCTGGTTTAACCCCTAAATTGCTACAGATATGCACTAAGATATAACATTCATAGTTCTTGTTCTTGTGCTTATATGTGAGTTTATACGTTGACTCTCAGTAACCAGGCAAAAGTGCTACCGGCCCACTGGGAATTCTCCGGACTCTCCCAATTTCCCAGTCCAGGACTGGTTGAGACCTATGCACACTATTGCTGTAACTTCAGCTTTAGATAACTACACCACTTGAGAGCCTCTACTAAACTTATTTCAGTGAAACATGCAGTACGTCAGTACTGTGAAAGTACAGACCTACTGCATATTCATTGTGACGTAATGTCTTGTGACAACAATATCATAGCATTATATCACTCATTCTGACTGCAAAACGTATGTGATCAATAAATTAGATCATTCTCAGAGTGAGAGTCCAGAAATGTGTTTACATTTATGACTATCATATGATATTCTGTGCATGTTTTACAGTCCTAGTGTGGATTAAGATGTTGATTCTGTAGCTGTTGGTCCTCCTTCAGTGAACGAGATGAGGTTTGTTGGTTCTGAGAGGGTGTGGACTCTTCCTTCTCTTTCTCGTTCACTTTTAATATTTGTTTGTATAACATCTCTCTCTGTGTCTCACTGCAGATTATCATCAGTAATTGGATATCAACATCATTCTTATTCCATTTTACCATGTGTATCATTATACTTCCTTCTCTGTGTGTTGACTGATTGTGATTGTGTTGGATTTGGATTGCATTACATAAGAAGAGGGGTGTGTTTATACGTGCATGTGCTGCTCAGCGTATCAGACTGATATAGACTTGGCTTGAGTTGTTATAGCAAGCACTGTACTGAAAGAGCTGGCAGGCTATTGTGTGTCCCTAGGGCCTCTCTCTCTCTCTCATCCTCTTGCTCTCTCGCACTCCCTCTTTCTCTCTGTCTTCCCCCTCTCTCTCATTCTCATTTTCTCTCTCTCTCTCTCTCTCTCTCACTCTCTCTGTTACTCTCTCTCTCTTTCTCTCTCCATTTTCCCCTCTATTTTCTCTCATATACTGTGGATTGCTCTGTCTCTCTCTTTTTGTTTTTCTCTGTTCCCTCCTCTTTTCTCTTACACTGTTACATCTCTCTCTTTTCTTTCTTGAGCTCTCTTTCTCCCCTTCTCTTTCTCCCTTTCCCTCTTTTTCTCTCTTGCACTCTGTCTTCCTTTCCCTCTTTTCTCTTTCATGCTCTTCCCTCTCTGCCCCTTTCTCTTTTTTCTGATATCTGTTCACCCTCTTCTCCCTCTTCTCCTAAATCTCTTTTCTTCCATCTCTCTCTTATTCTTTTTCTTTTTCTCTTGCACGCTCTTTTCTGCCTTTTTTCTCCCTTTCTCCCTTTTATCTCTTACTCTCTCTCTCTTCCTTTCCGTCTCTTTTCTCTTTTGAATGCTGTTATTCTCTTGCTTCCTCTCGCTCCTCGTCTCCCCCTCCCCCTCTCTCTTTCTCTCTTTTCATTTTTCTGCCCCTTCCTCTCCCTCTTTTTTTCTCTCTCTCTCTCTAACTCTCTCTCTCTCTCTCTTTCCCCTCCCTCTCTCTTTTCCCCTCCCTCTCACTGTTTACCATTTGGCCATTTGTTTGGATCCTGTTCTAATTAGTCAATCTGACTATGTTCATGGCTGTTGTCCATAACTGCTTCTGCCAAATGTCAGCAACATTTAACTATTAACAAAATCACACAAGCAGTCAGCGTGGGAACTGTTACATATGATAAAGTTTGTAGGTTTCCTTTTCACACTGAATTGTAACTGAGTGCTGTAAAAGTAGTGCACAGACAAAATAGCACTACTTTAATCGTGTTAAACTGCCTGTAGTAAGCAGTGTTGAGTGAAGAAGTTCCTTTCAGTGTATTTGCTTTATCTACTACTTATTTGAGTATTTTTTTCCTCAACCGTCTTGAGTGTTTATGTGGTGTGTGAGTTTGAGTGTGTGTACAGAAGCATAGGGAAACAAGGGTGGTAGAGGGGTAGAAGGAGATGGAGAAGTTTTACGACATACTGACAAAAGCAAGTGCTCAAAGGCAGAAAAAAGCGCCATTGCTCCGCCTCTGACGGTACACTGATTCATTCTCTCTCTTTCTCTTTCAGGAATTTCTGAATCCTGGAGGTATCCTTGACGACCATCCTGACTGCCCTCATCCTTCACTGTTCCCGCCTGCAACACTGCAACCTCCAGATCTCTCCATTCCAGCCCTGGGAAGGACTCAGCCCTCTGATCACTATCACCGAAGGAGAGAGGAGAGAAAAAGAACGAAGACAAAAGCAAACAAGCAGAAAAGAAGAGAGACTGAGAGTAGCATGCGCTATGCCTCAGAGAGGGAAAGGGAGAACTCCGATGTTGTGCACTGGAACCTTGTAGGCACTCGCGCACACATGCACAGCGTTTCTATGGCGATAATTGTATATCCGCACCCTTGCTGAGGACAGGCTGTGTTTTTCTGCGCCGATTGATTGCTGTGTTGTGATTGGTCAGGATGCCAGCTAAAGGGAAGTACCTGTTGAATGAGCAGAAGGTGAAACAAGAAGCACTCTATAGGAAGTTCTCTTGCATTAGCCAGTACCAGCCTCTGGTTCTGCTGCTCGGACTGAGTGCTCTCACATGTGCCACCCTGCTAGTGCTGTTCTTTAGCCTGCAACTGGTGAGACATTCACATGCATACACTTGCACATCCCACTCTCACTTATATGTCACTACAGTTGCTTTTCAATTTAGCCGGGTCAGCATAAACAACGTTTTACAGACTTTCAATATTTGTTGATCTTTCCAAAGGAGTACTGAAATACTCATTCTCAAAATTGCTCATAAAAACACAATAGTACAATAATTTGAGGTAGGGGTTAGCAGTATGACATTTTAGATTGATAAATGATGTTCTGGTATGCTTTTCTGAGCATGTTATGGCAGTGCTTAAAAAAACACTGTAAAACTGCCTTTTCCATTACAAAGACAGCATAATTAGTCTTGTTTAATTGGATTTGGAGCAGTGCATTATGTAAAATAGGATAAAAATCATTGTACTCATTTTACTTCATTTTTGATCGTGAGAATGTCTTTAAGTGTTTTGGTGTTACATTTTTTACCATGTTGCCCACCCTTAGTTTGAAGCATTTTTAGTCATCCATCTAACAAACCCGCTATGGTTCCATTTCTATTAGTGTTTCAGTCCGCACCCGCTGTGATTGGTCACATTTATTTTTCCGCTTGTGCTTGAGTAAAGCATAAACTTCATAGAGATCCATTCAAATCCCACAATCCCACACTTCTACGGCCTTGTGAACTCTATTTACAATAATAAGTTACTAAAATGTGTTGATCTTGCTGGTGTGGTTGTTGCAGAGCAGCTCCTGCGCTGTACTAACTATGTGTATTGAAGACATTTCTCTGATATAGTGACAGCTTGAGATTGGGAATATGTCACAATAAACGGATCTGCAGTTTGAGCTATCAGGTATTAAAGCTGCTGTAAAACTGTACCTGATGCAGCAACGTGACAGTGTATGACTTCCTATGAATCCTATGTTCACAGTCCTTATGCATTTATAAGGTGTTATTTGGCATGCATAGTACCTTAATGCATATAGTGGGCCTGTATAGTTAATTATAACTAGTTATATTTTTTTGCATAACACTTTATAAAGCAAGAGAATGACTTTACAATGTTAGGTTTCATAATGCATTATACTATCTGATCATAAGAATACTGTAAATATTGATTTGGAATGCACTTATACAGCAAGGTTCTGTTATAATTCCTGTATTAAACCCAGACCCGTTGTTACCAACTTGGCTAAAATGAAGCAGCGTTTGAGCATTTTTTTTGTAGTAGTCACACAAAAAAAAACAACAAAAAGCATAACTTATAACTACATGTAGTGTTAAATTTGACAGAATTTTTAGCTAACTATTAACTGAATAGATATATACTTTATGAAGTCATATAGTCTTGCTTCATAAAGTGTTATGCATGTAATTATAACTACTTTAGAGCAATTATACACGCTTATGCCTGATTTTATAAGGTGATATGTATGCTATATATTGGCTTATAAATGCATATATAAAACATTAAGAATACAGGATTCATAGAAAGTGTTACCTGATCACTATACTTATGTATATGAGATGATTCATCAAACATCATGCCTCCATGCTTTATCATACTCTTCTTGCACATCTTCCACTGAGCATTTTTCATCATCTACTCATTTAAAATGCTCCCGCATGTGATTACACTTCGAGGTAGTGCTGAAAAATGAATCGTTTTTATATATCAAAATTGCAGTTTGAAAGAGTGCAACTTCCAAATCACAAGAGCTGCAGTTTCTATTATAGCCTACATTATTAACAAGTTTTCAGTCTAAAGACGTGTACTGATGAAATTGATTTTTGGCTGCAATTTCTGGCTTAAAAAAATAGAGAACCAAATACCAACATAACAAAGGAGAACATGAGTATTTAAATTATTTGGACCAGTCCTGAAATTTAGATTATCATAAATGATTTGAAGTATGGTGCTACATTGTTTTTACAAAATGATAAAATAATGATAATGATAATGATCAGTTTTCCAGATATTCAGACTAGTCTTTAGTTAGTCTTGTCCTAAAAGATATTTTCAGAGTTGTGCCATTTCTTTAAGAAAGCCACACGCTTTGTCCACACTTGTTGAATTGTCCAACCTGTGGGTAAGGACGTAGGAGAAAAAATTCTTTGCCCTCTAAGTAGACTACAGCAATAAACCTTTGTCAGTTCAGTCTGGAGCCTCAAGGTACATTTACACCATGCTACAGTTCAAGCGAGGTCAGTCAACATCACCCTAAAATGGTCTGTATTGAGGCATGAAGGATGGAACTCATGGCCTTCATTGGGTTCTAAGAAGGAATGGAAAATAATTACATTTCTTTCAGTTGATTTATGTCTAAGCCATTATTGAATAACTTTTTTGATATCAGTCCCTGTCTGAAAAGAGAGAAAAATCATACAGCGTGACTTCAAATATAGTTAGGTTAACCTATTCGTGCCCATAATTAAATTGAGTATGAAAAGGAAAAATGCTACTAAACTTATTCTGATGGGTCTAAACTGATAAAATTTTGTATAATTTGATGTGAACATCTAACAGGACCCATTCGAATTAGCTTCTTTATTATTTTTAATGTTTCTATTCAAGTGCAGTGTTTATGTATAGATATGGCCATGTTGTTAAAACTCAGAGAACTTGTTGGCATAATTGTTTTTCCTCTGATTTTGTATTAAGCTTATTACATTTTATAACCTATGCGGGGTATCTTAACTTGATATGAACTGCAGTTATACTATAGTTTTGAATAAATGCACATTGTAGTTCCATCCATAACTTGCCTTAATCCAATCTGGAATCCTCACATTGGGTTAGCGCCTTCTTACTGTGTTTTGGGGGTTTACATGCCATGTGTTTTGTATTTGCATGAAGCTAGGAAACAATTCACCCGTTGATGGGTTTGCCAATGTGTGACTATTTCTACTAATGTTCTTGCTAAACTGCTGTCAGTCTTTAACACTAGGTGCAGTTAGGGCTGGGCGATAAAACGATAACAATAATTATCGCGATATTACTTTTCCTCGATAGAACGATACGACATGTTCGATATAATACACCATTCTCACACCTCCACATTCTAGCGAAAGCCTTGGTGGCGTTTTCTACTGCAAGGAAAGCGACACTTCTGTGCTGTCACCAGGAGAGGACGTTTTTCTACATGATTAGAGAGGGAGGGGGCTACGAGTAAGAGGAGTATTTAGCAACGGCTAAAACGCGGAGTTATACATTCCCTGTTTGAGTGGAGCGACCGGCGACCTGTTCTCCTGTGACCGAGTGTGAGTGACGAGGTCAGTGGTGTAACTATACTGTCCTACAGCGAACTCACCTCTTTCCTAACATCCTAACCAGCTTTAGCAGCGTTAAATTACAATCACAATCCTCACAACTAGAGTGCTGTTACAGCGCTCGGACAGTCATATTTAAATTGCATTCCAAAGCAACAAAAGTGAAAGAAAGAAGTGGGTTCATGTAAATTACAGCCCTGATTTAAACGAAAGTAAACTGAGGAAGCTGTGAGGCATTGGAGAGCGGGAGAGCGCTAGCTTTCCAGGCTAGCTGTTTTTAGCAGCTAGCTAACTTGAAGCAGCGCTCCGTCACTCACACAGCACGGAGAATTGATGATACTGTAGATCAAACACGACACAAAAGCACCGCTTTCAGTTTACACATACCAAAAAGGAGGACTCTGTTTGTCTGGTGTTAGATATTTTGCGGCTCACCCCTTAAACTACTACAATTGATTATCCAGTCATCGCTAGCTGGTGTCTGAATACTGTGATGTCATTTGTAACGAGGTAGCCGAGCGCTCGTCACCAGCTAAAAATAATCAGTTTTCTTTCTTAAATTATGACTATACAAAATAGCCATGCTTTTCCAGCTGATAAAAACAGCTCTCCAGACACTTTCTCCCACTCTCCCATGACAGATCTGTGAAATGTTCCACTGTTTGTTTACACAAATGTAGCACCATGTAAATCGAACATTGAAATAGTCAGCAGCATGCAGAAATGTCTGACAGTTATTAAAAAAGAAATTAGGGAAAATTGTTTGAGTAATAAGGAAGTTATAGCCAATTTAATCATAAAACCTCAGTACATCTGTTTTTGTTTACAATTTGTATATGTGTATCTGTGTAATCAAGTACTCTGTTAACTGTCCAAGGAGCCAGTATTAATAATTAATAATAATAATACTAAAATCACTGTTCAGGTATCCGTTACGTTTCATCAAGAAAATATACAGACCCGCAATTTCGTGAAACATGACGGTTTTGCTCATATTTGCAAGTCAGTGTACTATGTTATACTTTGCTACTCCAAAACACAAGTGCCTGAATGTGATTGCGTCAACAAGGACACATTGGAGAGACTAAGAAGGCAGCGATAGCATAGATGTATCACTAACTAGGCTTAATACTCTAGCTGATGTTAGCTAGGTCCAGAAACAATGAAAAATAATTCTCTGGAAAATAACATGTTGGCACATCATCCACTAAGGAGAAAATACTTTGTGAAAATATCTTGTCAAGAAGTCCTCATCAGAATCCAGCATGGCACTGGTTATTTTTGTTAGCTCATCAGGTTATATCAGCAGCCTCCATTATTCATCCAGAACGCAAAACCTGTCAGTTTCCCACAGCTGCTTTTGAGTAATAAAACGTTCCTCTGTTATATTTTTGTTCAACACCAGTGCAGTCATCTAAGAAGATACGCACACAGCCCTACATTATTTTTGGCCAAAGTCTGTTATTTTTTTCTTCTTTTTCTTTTTCTTTTTTTTTTTGGGCCTTATTTTTATTTCCTTACTGATAACTGGATATCCCTTCATATGGATGCTCGAATATCAAAACGAGTCGGAATGCACATCCCTACTGGGTTTGCAATTCAGTATTCTCAAGATATTGTAACAAAATTTGAATGAATAAATGTTATGACTATAACATTGCACAACCTACTAATCTAATGACACTAGAGCTGGGAGACAGGAGCAGTGCTGGAGTGAGTTCATTGGTGCTGATAGATTGTAAGCTTTGGTGTTTGTAGTGAGTTTATTTTTTCCCTTTTTTTTAAGTCTACAAAGCATTTACAGACCATTTTTGTCTTTGTCTTTTTTTATCTTTTGTCTTTGTGATGGACTGAAGCGGGTGTGAGAGCAAACAATGATAGTGTGTGAATTGAGGCTAATCTTTGTCAAGTAAAATAGCATAAAATTGCAATTCAGTAAAAGTTATGCATTGTCATTTTTAATTTGGCCATGAGACTCTAGTTAATCTGGTAAGAAAGAACGGAATAGTGAATGTCACACAAACTATATTTTGTTTGCCTGACATAATGTGCCTCCCCCCTGAGTGCGTTAAAGCAGCACAGCTCAACGGCTGGATTTTTTAGAACAATCTCATAAGTACTATGTAGTATTATAGGATATCACCCAGTGCTCACACATGGGAATACTAGTGTCTTGCTATGGTTTGCTTAAAATAAATGAAATAAATATTTTTTAAGTGGTGGTAGAAGATTTTTTACTGTAACTGGGGGCTTTTACTGTGATAACTCAGTCATTCTTCACCAGGTACATAACCTACATGTCATTCCTGAATGTTGCATTATGTGCAGCACATAAATCACCAGACTAGAGTATGTTACCCAAATGGTGTCACTGTTATCTATGAAAACGAGAACATGGATCAAATTGGTATCAGTCCAAACCTAACATTTAAAGAGTCTGTGTCATGAAAAAATGGATTTTTCTCACAGTTATCACAACACCATTGTACTTGCGTACGTCCTCGTATTCAGCCTACAGCAGTTTAGCCCCCCATTCACACTTTACAAAGAGTGCTTCAGCCTAGATTTTTTAAACAAGGCACAATACAGGGCAGCCAGTCAGAACAGAGGTACATGTATCAGTCTTAAAGGTATAGTAACAAAAACAGCTTGTTTAATTCTAAGGGATTAAGCGGTGTTGAAAAACTGGTCATGTAACTGTTAATTCTGACTCTGTTTGATACATAAAACCACACAAATGTCATAAGGAGACCTTTGAGAAATAAACTTTAAGGACAGTGTAGGATATGAGTTCTTTTAAAGAACAGCAAAACTGAATGGGCACATCCCTATGGATACTAGATATCAAGAATGAAGAGTTAGGCCAGAAACATCCTCAAGGGGACAATAGAGGAAAAACCAGAGTGGGTTCTACTGCTATCCCAACACCCACGTCTACTAAACGTGCTACTTTATTTTATCAGAATGATGAGGTGTTACATCATTGCACATTTTAGAATGCAACAACACGCGAAACCATGTCTGCCTAGCTCATCTGCATCCACGTGCTTGCGTGATGTATTTCTGGTCTAAATGAAGAATGATTGACTAATCATCATACATTATTTGTGCAATTTAGGCTTTATCTATGTGTAGTGTGAGGACCATGCTCACAAATTTAGGCTGAGTAACTGTGTATCTTGCTGCTGATAAAAGCTTTTGTTATGCGACAGGTTTTTGGAGCAGATATCCTTCCAGAGTGTATACTTTGGGAGGGTGGGAGGGCTAATGGAAATGCTTGTATCTTTTAACAGGAAGTAATGGAACTTGAAGCGTTATCATTGGCAGGTTCTGGCATGTCTATCAGTTCGTCTTTCACAAGGCATTTTCCTGCTATTGTTTTTTAATCGTGCATTCCTTTTCTTTCTCATTCTCACTGTCCAAACAGTGTGTGTGCACGCGTACACGCTTTTTGCCATGCCACTTTTCCTTTCTTCACTTAAAAAAAACAAAAAAACAAAAACAGTAGGCTGTGGACAGAAGCCCAGTGTTGCATATTTTCACTGCTCCAGTTTGTGTAATGCTTTTGTTCATCTCTCACACTCTCAGTTAAGTGATACACCGTCTGTGTGAACTTTCTTAACCCTGTCTTACTCAACGCTTATCGGCCGTGGGAGGAAAAGAGGCAGGCCATCGTGTGTGTGTGTGTTTCATGGTCTATGTAAACCCTTAACTGCTCTTCTCACTAGTAACTCTTTGTAGGAGGATAGGAATCTGTATATATAATAAAGCATGTGTCCGTTCTTCAGTTAAACCACTTCACTTCAGAAAAAGCCAGGAGTTCAGGGAGTGAGCATATTGAGAGTGCTTGGACTGTTTAAATAAATGGAAAGCACCATTAAGATTCATGGCATAGTGGAGCCCACATAGTGAGATGTTCTAGGGCGCAGCCTTATATAGCTTTATATAAGGGCCACCTCTACATTGTTAAACCATTGCAAATAATGCCCAGGTAGAAGATGTTATTGTGAGTGTGTGGTCTATGATTTTATTACAGAAAGAGCCGGAATGATATGTAATTACTAAGGGCAGAGCTTTGAACCAGAGCCTAATGTGTGGTCTTTATGGCTACTGTTTAATGTTAGTCAGTTGTACTTTGTATCAGAACAGAATGCTACATAAATATAAAATGAATTTGCATAAAATGATTTTTTTATTTTGCCACTGGCATAGAAAGCAGTACACCATACATGACATAACACAATATTTGAATACTAGGATAAGTAGAGTATGAAGTCAGAAAGATTAACAGCAGCAGAAGTGAACAGAACATTAGCTTATAGTATTGCTGTAATATTAAAACCTCCCTTTTTGGTTGTTATACCATGTGAAAACACCAGCAGCCTTTTGCATTGTGTGACGAATTCATCAACACAAATGCAATACAATCTCTTCTATTTACTTAATATTACATAACTTGCATGAAGTTATAGGAGAAGGAAAACCTTTCTTAATGTTGCCATTTCTGAGATAGGAAGATTTTGTTACAACAAAGATGATGGATTAAAAAATAGCAAAATTAATAGATTATGGTCACGTTCAAGACATTTTTATAGTAGTTTGAAAACATACTGATGCACATTGCTGGTCTGTTGTAGTTGCATTTAAGGGCAAAGATCTGTTTCTTCTCCCATGTGTGACCAAGGATCATGTAAACAACATGGTGTGTGGGTTTAAATGAACCAGTTGCTGTTCTAATAGCCCTTCAGAGCTTATTTCATGTTTGGGTTCTTGCCGCTACCACTTTTAACAGGTTTTACCTGCAACTTTATTCTTCCTCTACAGGATATAAAGCAGCGAATGGACAAGAACTGTATGCAGCCAAAAGAACATTAATATTTAATTTATATGTTTAGTACATATTATGTTTGTTGCACTGAAATAGTTTATTTTTCTATTATATGTCAAACTGGGGACCTTCCGGGCCAAAGTGCTGCTGAGATTAGCGTTTACCCTCATCTAACACTTTGAATTCAGTTCATAAAGGCCTTGCAAATTAGCTGAATCAGGTGTGTTTAAGGAGACAGTGTGCTGAAGTCTGCAGTGATTCGGCCAGCAAGGACCAGAGCCTGACACGTGCTTTGGGTGATGATGGTACGGTTCAGGTCTGGTTCAGGCAGAATTTTGTCAGGGCCATGTCTTTGTGGGTGGGGTTGGGTCAGGCTCAAACAAAGTTCTTAAGATATTGAAGCATATGCATATACAGTGTTTTTTACATTTAGCATATACTTATAAATATCCTCTCTGTTGGAAAACCAGTTTGACAAATTTAAGTTTTATTTGTGAAAAGTCCTTTTTCTGGCTTCACACACATGCACATGCAGTAACTGGTGCATTGTTGTTGGAAAGCTGACTGTTAATCCAGTCTTTCTTTGTGTGTCTTTTCAGAGTGTGCATGACCACGTTGCATTTGTAGGTGTGGTGAGCGGAGCGCTGTTTGTGTTTCTGGCAGTGTTCCTGCTGGTGTGTGCAGAGGCGTTCACTCAGAGATGGACGATGCTGCTGGGTCTAGTAGTGTGGGCCGCACACCTCAGTATGGGCTTCACCTTCATCTATAGCAATGATCTCATTCAGCCCTGGGACCAGGTAATGCACAAAAACTTTCTCACACACAGACTAATGATGGTTGAGGTTATTGGAATATATGCAAATCTGAATCAAAGTTTTCCTTTATTCTTGTTCTACAAATTTTAAATAATTTTTTTGATTTAACAAGTGATGTAGAAAGAGAATGTCAGGACACAAGCAGCTGATTGTGCATCTCATGTAAAGTGAAATGCTGACATTTAAGCAGAACTGTAAATGGAATGTATTGGCATTTCAGTCATATTTGATATCAGTTTTTAAGGCATTATTCTAAAAATATTCGAATAATACCATTATTTGGAAAGTTTTATTCTATTAAATCTACGCAAGAAGAGTGTACAACGGGCTTGAGCTTGATTTTTATCAGTGCTTCTTTGCGACACTTCCTATATGCTGTAGTTGCACATTGTACTATCTGCTACTCAGTGCATGAAACCCTCTGGCAGTGCAGTGTTTCTCACCCAGTGTGCAGTAGCCTTTTGATGGCTGCAGGAGTTTTTCTGTGCTTTCTTCTTAAAACTAAACTGAAAAGACACAGGCTCTATTCTCTTGTGGAGTATAGAGAGAATTTCCAAAAAAGTTGGGATGCTGTGTACTGATCACTTTTTATGATAGCTGCATGCAGTAAACAAATGTTTAGCCTTCCATGTTTCCTTTTTTTTAACCATAAAATATCCAACACCATTGTGAAATTTGAAAGCTATGTTGTTAAAATGCACAAATTCCATAACTTATAATGCATGCTCAAAATTTCTGTCATATAAATACTACTTTTAATGTACTTGCTTAAAAAGTCTTACCTTGGGGTAAAATACAGTTTTAGTTTGTAGATTTGCCACTGTTTGTGCGGTAGAGATGAAGTTGTTTAAACCAACTAAGACTGGAATTGAAACTGAGGTATCTCTGTCTCTTGTTTAGGTGCCTTTCTTCCTCTTCATCATCATCACGGTGTTCACATTGCTGCCTTTCCAGGTGTATTATGCTGTCATCCTCAGCATCGTCTCCTCCGTCTCTCATATTATTGTTCTTTCAGTGCACGTCAGCATGGACAAGGCCCAACCAAGACCTTACCTCATCAGTCAGGTAATCTGATGTTGTCTGTTACCAATTGCTTTGGGGACAATATATTGTGAAGGATTTTTTTTATTAAGAAGCTAGTATTGGGGATGAGCACACAGCAAAAATGACAACTTGGCAAATGAATGAATCTGAAATGAAGGCAATTTATCTATTTCTTATGAAATAGTAAAAGACTTTTATAAGATTATTCATCCTACTTATATACATTTTTTACTGACATTTAAGTCATTTTAAAAAGTGTAGTTATCAAAAGCACTGACAGATGATGTTGCTTGTTTCAAAAAATAATGGTTGAATGAAGTGAGAGAAAATAGAGAAACACATAGAGAAAAAAGACAGACACAATATATAGACCAACAATTCTGTGAAACTTAAAATTTAAGTTTTAACAGGACTATAAAATGTGCCAGTTTCGTTTGAAATTGTGAGCACGTATGTTTATAATATTACACTTTGCTGCTGTGAAACACAAGTGCCTGAAAGTGGGCACATTGACAAGGACACGTTAAGTATGTGACTGAGAGGACAGAAATAGGGAGGCCAGCTGATGTTAGCTCAGCCCAGAAACAGTGAAAATATAGTCCTCTGACAAACTAACGTTTTAGCACATCGTCCACTGAGGAGCAGAAAATCTTTCTGATTTTTCGGGGCCATTTTTGAATAATAAAGCTAATAATTTTCTTTAGCTCCTTAACACCAGTCCTGTCACCTAAAAAGTAAATGTGTTTTTATTTTCTTTTTCCTTCTCTGTGCTTAAGTATCCATTCATGAACTCTTAGGGATACTTGGGTATCAAAAATAGTGAGAATGCACATCCCTAGTAAAAATGTCTTAAAATAAGTTGAACAATCTTATTATTCTTTGTATTAATAATCTTTTAATCTTATATTTTGCCATTGGCAAGGAAGCGGCATTGCCAGGAAGCATTCGTTAACAATGAAATTGCTTTTGTACAAGACTGAATGCTTGGTGCTTAACTACAGAACTAGAGAAACTAAGTGAATCCCACTGACAGTAAGCATAAACGAGCGAAAAATAACGTGCCAGGCTAACATGTACCAGCACAAAAACACATGGTTTTGCAAAGAAAACATTTACTCTAAGAAAATAGGGACCAGGCAAGGGGCTCACAGTTATACAAAGCAAAACACTGCTAGCCAGGCTAAGCGTCACCACAGTGTTCTTCAAGCTCTCATAATGAGAAATATTACATATATTATACTTAAGATATTTTTACAGTGTGGGAGTGGAGTAGGAGGCAGTGGCAGATCTTTCAGAAGCTGGCCAGTTTAACCAGCAGGGATATTGATACATTTGTATTGGCACATACTTTATATAGTAATCTCTCTTTCTCTCACCCTCTGCCTCCCTCTCTCTTTCTCTCCCCCTCACTAGCTCTTCTCCAATGTTGTAGTGTTTTTGTGTGGGGGTGTAGTGGGAGCATTCCATAAGGTCCTGATGGAGAAAGCACTCAGGCAGACTTTCCAGGACACACTTCGCTGCCTCGGCATCCGAATGAAACTGGAGATCGAGAAGAGACAGCAGGTACTGGTTCATATGAAACTTTCAATTTAAGATGATCTGGCCTCAACCGTCAAAAAGCGTATTAAAGCACACAGCATGGCTACTTACAGGTTGCTGTTGGGTTTGTGATGCTAATAAAGTTGGAACTGCCCCTCTCTTCAAATGCTAAGCGAAGCCTGCTCAGTATTGTCCAAGGTTTGAGAAACTGTGAAATGTGCAGAGGAAATTAATAACTTTGAATTAAAGTTGTCCTGAAGTTGGCTTTTAATGTGCCAGCTTGTTTTGCAAAGTTTTCATATCACCTTAAATGGTGCTGCAGTTGCGTTCATTAGCGTTTAAAGTGGAACGGAACATTCAGTCAAGAAGCTGGCGAATAGTCTTGTTTAAAAACGAATGTCAGCCATGCTTGTTGACAGTTCAGTTCCTTGGGAAGAGTACAAAAGGTGCCGACATCCCTTGACAGCCTGGAACAGTACAATTTTTGCAAGTAGTCTGCCATTTTCATTGCTGTTGCTCTGTTGTTGTTTCCTGCTGGGCTTGAGCGTGGGCTGGTGTGTAAATTTTGGGGGCGTAAATGTTGGTGAATCAAGACTGTTACATAACAGTTTTTGGAATTGGACCGTTTTACCACCCTCTTTTGCAAATTCAGGATTTTTATTTGAAGGAGGCAACAACGGTATGCCAGTTCCATGTACCGAACTCTCCCTTTTCAGCTGTAGTATGTAAATACAGTTTCCCATTTTAGTACCTTTAAGTAAAGCAATCAGAAGTACTTGAACAATAGTGGAGCAACATTAATGTGCTTTGGTAGGTCAGTATTTAATATTTTATTTAGATCAGTGCTTTGTTGCATATCTCTTGTATGACAGCTTGAAGTTGTCTAGGCATGCAGACTTGTTGCATTTTCTCTTTTAGATGGCCTGTCTCTTTCCACCATTTCAGTACATTTTTTCATGCTTGATATTGGAATTTATCTCAAAACTTTTTTTTTATCTCAAAAGTTTTTTAAAGCAATATCCTTCAGAATGTTAAGGAAATTTTGAGTCAAATATGTTGGAGAGTAGTATTTGGAGATATCAGGTTTGAATATTTTCTTTTGGGTTATTTTAATCACCTTTGTTTTGAAAATGGGGCATTAGGTGCATTAGTTTTGTACTTGTCTGTTGTTCAGTTGGACACAATGTATTGATTGATAAGTTATAACATAGCTGAAATTATGTATTTTCCATAATACATTAAGATATTAAATAATTAAAAAAAAATAAATGTGTATATTTAGATTTTCGTGTATCAAACTATAAAAGCTCAGTTGAATTGCTGCTACAACAGATTCTAAATGAATTTACTTTGTTAATGAAAATATTTATGCTCTAACTATAAGCCTTGTTTGCTGTCTTGCTTGAGTATTTTACTTTTAAAATAAATTCAGGATAATTAAGTCATAAGACAGAATCAGTGATGCCAGCTCCAGTCTCATTTTGTTCCTTTCAGATGGTGTATTAATGTCTATTACAGGATTTTGTCTGTTTAAGTGCCAGCAAGGGCCATTCATGTGGATTAGTATGTTCTGTTGTGCTTTTTAATGATGTTCTAACTTTGGCTGGCAGCTCTGATTTCCACTGAATGCTGTTTTAGATGTTGCTGTTTAATTCAGTGCAACTGATTAGGAGCTAGGCCTTCCTGGTTACAGAGCTAGGTGTTGTATGGGATTTTGTTGTTCATTTAAAATATACGTTTGCATCTTAAGCTTTTGTTTGTTGTTATTGTCACTGTATATGTGACATCTCTGAAAGAAGACACTGAAACCTTGCTAAGTAGAACAGAATGGGTTAGGACACGTGTCAAGCTCCAGTCCTCGCGGGCCAAAACACTGCAGACCTTAGCACATTGCCTCATTAAGCACAGTTGATTCAGCTCATCAGCTAATTAGCAAGGCCTTCATGAACTGAATTCAGAGTGATAGATGAGGGTAAACGCTGATCTCCGCAGCACTTTGGCCTGGAAGGTCCCCAGTTTGACATGTCTGTTCTAGAAGATCCCATATTTCCCTCTGTAGAGGTGGGCAGTATGATGATATTTCATCTTTTTTTATATTATGATGATAAATTATGACACAGTACACTTTTCTGAGCATACTGTGGACATAATCATTACTTGAAGAACACTGAACTGCATCTTTCATTACAAAATGAGCATAAATAGTCCTGTTTAACTGGGTAAAAAACAGTAATTAGTTTTTGATAGCATTTTTTGAAGCACTACTAGGGCTTTTTTGTATGTTCCAACTGATCAAACCTCAGAAAAAAACTAAATAATGTGATAATTTGTGTGTTGTGTATAGTGAAAATGATTTGATTTTTAGCACTTTGGCCTGGAAGGTCCCCAGTTTGACATGTCTGTTCTAGAAGATCCCATATTTCCCTCTGTAGAGGTGGGCAGTATGATGATATTTCATCGTTTTTTATATTATGATGATAAATTATGACACAGTACACTTTTCTGAGCATACTGTGGACATAATCATTACTTGAAGAACACTGAACTGCATCTTTCATTACAAAATATCAAATACAGCAAAATGCCCAGGAATAGATTCCTGAACCTAACAAATTTGGGCTGCTGTGCCTTTGGTTCTTTTATATGGACTATAAGGCCCTGTGTAAGTCCCTCTGCATACGAGTACAGGTAAAACGCCATTGTATTGTAACTACAGACAGACATTTGCGCATGCGCAACCACACACAGTGTCTTCAGAAAACAAGTAGCAGTGAGAGTGAAGGAAAACCTCTGTTCTCCCGAAGGATAAGATCTGTTAGTCTCCTGTTACGTGCACAGCCGCCACCATTGTGTTAAAGGACATTTCATGCATGACGCACATGAAGAGAGAGAAAGTTTGCAAAGTCTCCATGATGAGGGAATGGTCACGCACTGTCTTTGCTGTTTAATGGGCACAAAGGAGTGCTTACAGTCTGTAAGATGGTGCAACAGTGCCAGCAGCAACAAAGCCTTTTCCAAGAAAAAGATGAAAGCTGTCCAGCACTGTCAAATCATGTCACTAGGAGCTCTGTCTACAGCCACCATTTCCAGGAACATCTATGCTGTGAATAATGACATTTACTTGCTGATTCCACAGCTGTAGCTATAGATTGGATATAGAAGTCCTTGTTACTGAAGAGCAAAAATTGTTTAGGAGACAGTGTGGTGCAACAACACTTTTTTTGTTAAATAATTTTAGAAGTATTTAAGAAAGATTCATGCTTTTTTATACAAACATAATACACATTGAACAATTCAGCCAAAGGTGAGTGCAGATGTTCCAATTTACCTCATAGATTGGGTTAATTAAAATAGACTAAGAGGACAGTTGTAACAGTGGTTAAAAAAATCAAACACAGTGCAAACACAGATAATTTAATACAGTTCTTGGCACTTGAACCAGACAAGCCTTTTAACCTAAATAAGTAAAATAACTCACTAGTGAAAAGTCATTCCCAGTTTTATTTACATGAAATCGGTTCTATGTTTTTAAAGAATCTGTGCAAAGAGGTGGATGATATGGCAAAAATCACACCATGATACTTCAAGGCTGTTTCCCAACACACACATACACAATATGGATCACAATATTTCATTGTTCTGAGGTTTGATGAGGTAAAATAAATAAGATCCAGTAGTGCCTCAAAAAAACCTATTAAAACCTATTATAAATACAATAGTTTTTATTGAATGTTTTACATACACTGCATTAAACCTAGTTAGTTAATTAATAGTACTAATTATGTTCTCCTTGTAATAAAACGTGTCATTGTTATGTGTTTTGAAGTCCAGAGGATATCCGCATTATGCTCAGAAAAGTGTATTGCCTAATGATAAATATTGTGATCTTGCCCCCCTTTCTGTGCATTAAAATGTCCAAAATATGTTTTAAATTTATATAGAAGAATATGGACACTCTTTGTTTATTCAGGGACATGTGTACAGCCTTGTGGAGGTTAAACTTTAGCCTCACTAGCTCTTTCTGTGAGTTCATTGTTTCAAAACAGGTACCAACAAGATAATTAAAATAATGTGTGAAATTGTTGACTTACATACTATAATTCTGTAATCAAAACACATATGATGAAAATGTTAGTTTCAGGGTACAAACACAATTTTAAAGAGTGAAATGTAGAAATATCTGTTTGGTTCCTGTCAGAATTTCCAGATGACTTTGCTATAGGAATATTTGAGGATGACAGAAAGCACATTCTACTTGAATCTGTTTAACTACATAAAATATCCATGTTACTTTTTGCCACGTTAGGTTATGCATCACTCACCAAGATCTTTACTACGCTAAGAGAACTACACAATATGCTCATTTGCCTCTTGTGTAATTGGTAAATTAAAAATGTAATTTCTCTTTGGTAAGACTGTTTATCTTGGTCCTTACTAGCAGGCCTAACTAGCCTTTTGGCCAGACTAAGAGAAAACCGGGTCATTTCAAATAGTTTGTGTTGCTAATGAACTTAAAAGTAACCATTTGTTATGCTCTCACATGTACTTTTTTCCATGATGCTTGGTGAAAGTCTTTTGGTGGGAAATACATGTTGTGTATCACTGTGGTAACAAAACCTTGCGTCTCCAAACTGGTACATTTTGTAGGAGAAGAAAAAAGTGGTAACACTTTACAATAAGACTACCCTTAATAAAGGGTTTATGAATATTTTAAAATTAGTATACTAATGGCTATTAATTAGGTCATTAAAAAAAAAATTAAAACACAGAACACAAAAAGTGCAACAGTGACCTGTTGCTTGCCAAATAGTGAGCCCTACACTTTTAAACCTCAGATCTTGACGGTTACTTATCCTTACTTTGTCTTCTCCATCGGTCAGCATTATACCCCCAGCTTCCTCAGATATTCATATTCATCTGATACAGCAGCGGACTGTTGGCCTTTTTATTTGTGTTATGTGATTTATGTGATCATTTTTACAAAATAAAACCCTCATATCTACTGTTCCCTAAGTTAATTTGTGCATATTTTAGTATAACATTATTAATCAATATTAAAAAGCCCAGAAATTAGAGCGTTTCTACCTTGTAAGAGCAATAGCAGTCATTTTGACCTTATACGAGAGAATGTCTTTAGACTTCGTGAGCTAGTCGGATGTTATTTTAGTGGCGTTTTTACAATAGTGTGCCTGAAAAGAATTCTTAAATAGTTCACAAAGAATGACCCAGGACAGAATAACACAGTAGCAGTACGATAGAATAGATAAGACAATATAGGCTATGCCATACAGTCCCATCATCATTATTTAGCTTTGGTTGGCTGTAAATATGGTGAATGGGATGCTGTGTCTGGACAACAAGATGCAAACATTTGAGCAGTGATTAGGAGAGAGTTACTTAATGAAGATGATTGAACCCCTTGTGAGGAAGTCGATCAACAGTGTTTTTAGTGGAACGGCAGCAGTGTTGAATGCCTTACAGGTTATTAAAGACTGCATCTTAAACCACATAAAGCTATTCTGTACATAATACTCTGATGAATGCACTGCTAATTGTGGTGTCATTTTTTAGCATACTGTTTAATATGGTAGTATGCAGTTTGGGATTGAGCTATAGTCTGGCTTCTTGCTGTGTGTCAGCCCACACATATTTGTTTTTAAAATAATTCTCTGCTGTGGTATAAATAAGTATGTAAAATTCAGTCAGGCTGACCTCTGTGGCTTTCTAGTAGTTATGGAATTCTACCCTTTCTAGTGTTGTTAAAGTAGTTTTAAACACTTATTGTCTTATTGTAAAGTGCTTCCAAAAATGTGATCTTTTGTTCCAGGTAATTTTGAACCCATTTCTATTGCTCTATTTGTTAATATTCCTACTACGTAAAGCTGGTACTTTTAAACTATAGAAATGGCAGGCTGTCTTAGAAACTAAGGTATTCATATTCATCAGACATAACAGCTTACTTTCAGTTGTCATTTCTGTTTGTTATAATGAGGTGTTTATGACCTAATTAATAACCTTTAACTCTAGAAAGGCAGAGACAATAATTTTAGTTTTGAAAGTTTGAGATGTTAAAATTTAAAAAAATAAGACTTAAACACATATCTAGTGTTCCCTTGCTTTTAATACAATGGTGCATATTTTAGTATGACAATGGTATGAGATTAATATTACAAAGCACAAATGAGTGTTTCTACCTCATAAGCCCATTAGCTGTTATTTTGAATCTGTACATTAGTCTGCGTTTAGTCTCTACAAGCTTTCTCTGCCAGCATATCAGACATTTTAGTTTATTATTGTTATTTAGTGCTAATTAAATAACTTTAAACCCTTAATATGCATAGTATTATTGTAAAGGTGTACCAGAAAATGTTTAGACATTTTATTCCAGGCAGTTGGCTGATTTCTATCGCCAATTTGTCAGTAAATCTACAGTGTAGAGAAAAGGCATTGGCATTTTCAAATTGTTAAAAAAAACATGAAAAAATGATCTAGTACACCAAGGCTTGGTTTTAGGCTGACTGTCCTCTCTAACCGAATGATCATTCCTCTTTCTGCAGTTTGTATACCCCAGAGATTGTTCCACTTTGCCTGATGCTGGAGTGTGTGTGTGTGTGTGTGTGTGTGTGTGTGTGTCAGGAAAATCTGCTGCAGTCAGTACTGCCGGTGTATATCTCTATGGAGATGAAGTTGGCCATAATGGAGCGCTGTAAATGCAAAGATAAGGAGGCACAGCAGCGACTGGTCAAAGACAACAACTTCCACAGTCTCTACGTCAAGAGGCACGAGAACGTCAGGTAAACATGTATACACACATACACACGCGCAAACTCACATGCACTGTCTCATTATCTTGATTTATATCAATCCACATAGGCTTTACTATGTGTTTATGTCTCGGTCAGATACTGTGAGGAAAAACTGAGTAGCTTGTTTTGTTTAAGGAAATGAAAGCTGTGTGTATGTGCGACAGATTTTTGTCTCAGTTTAACTTTTGTTCTGCAGCGACTGACGCTCGTAGTTTTACTTTCTGATCACCTCCTTGTTCTGACTGGCCCAGTGTCTGTGTCCATGAAGTGCTCTTCATGACCCTCATTAGTGGACAGTGATTAGATTAATTCCATTTCCAAACCACTGACCCCTGAGGGTGTTTGATATCTATTTACTCTCCTCTGTCCCATGCTTGTGATATCCGGTTCTCGGGCAAGTTTTTATATTTAGACACAGAGCTCACTTTCAGCTCTAAATCTCTGGTTGCCAGAGCATTTAACCCTTTGGGGTTTAAGGGCATTTTCTCAATTTTTGAATATCTTGTTAAATTTGCCTTTAAAGGCACTTGCATATGACATGATACCCATGTGTTTCATATCAAAATACTCCCTTCTTTGCTACTTTCCAAAACTGCTGCAGCAACTTTAGCGGCTGTAAACGTTTTGCACGCCATTTCAAATGTGAAAGTGGACTGAATAAAATATTATTGGGGCAGTCCTTAACAATTTCCTGAGTGTCCCTTGCTCAGTTTCAAACTGTAGATGGATACACAAATCCACACATGTTGAGAGACAGATGACGTGTATCTCAACCCCTCTTCATAACGTCATACCTCTGAATGTGAGTCACATGCGATCTCGTAATAAGACGGAATGGAGAGGGCGACTCTACAGGTTCAGGAAATGTTTGAACTGTATTTCTGTACTGTATTATCACAAAGATAGAGAAACTTAATTAGAAACATAGAGTTTGATGCACAGGTGAGTTCCTGGACCCCAGAAGGTTAAACCCGCACTGTCACACATGCACATGCACTGAGGTGTCCGAGATCCTTGTCTGGGAGATCTTTAGAGACTCCTCACAAACCCTATTTTGTGAGTTAGTCCAGCTTGATTCTTTGAGACAGTATAGGGTCCACAGGGCTTTAAAGAGCATTTTTAATTAACTCTCTCATTTAATAAGCAATTTGCAATTTCTTTGATTAATTCTTAATTTAAATATTTTTATTTTCAGTGGATTTGAATTTTAAATGGAAAAAATAAACCCTTACCTCTGCATAAATGGTGTTTTGTGAATAGTTATATACACTGATGAGCCAAAATATTTTGAGCATCTGCCTGATATGCTGTTGGTCCTCGTGTGCCACCAAAACAGCTCTGACCCTCCAAGGCATGGACTGTGCCAGACCTCTAAAGGTGCCCTGTGGTATCTAGCACAAAGACTGCACCCAATATTCTGTCGCCGGTTCATTGTTTGTCCCTTCTCAGATCACTGTTGGTCAGTACTCCCCACAGTTGACCAGGAACGCCCCACGTGCTTTGTCATTTTAGAGCTGCTTCACTTTGGCCTTAACTATTTGGTCCTTGTCAAAGTTGCTCAGGTCTTCATACCCTTTATATTTCATGCCCATTTTTCCTGCATCCCACAGTCCCAGGACTGTTCACTCACCGTCTATTATATGCCAGACCTTGACACGCACTGTTGTTACAAGATAATCAGCGGTATTGGCCATAATGTTTTGGCTCATTAATGTATATATTATTTATGTAGGAGTGGACCAAATTACAGTATAACTATTGTGATCAAATACATCACATTGTGCCACAATATGGTTTTCTGAGCATATCCTCATTGTCATTACTTAAAAAAATACTGACCAATTGCATGTTTCATTACAAAGAGAGCATAATTAATCCTGTTTACTCACAGTACAAGATGTGCAACATCTCTGTATTCGTAATTTTTGATAGTATTTAAAGGTGCCACTTCTGGATCTTTTGTCTGTTCTAACCAATCAAATGTCAGAAAAACTGTCGTGACACGTATCTTGTATGAGGAAAACGCATTGAAGTATTGTGATATTATATTTTTTCCCATATAACCCACCTCTAACTGTCCACCTCTACTGTCCAGTAGATACCCTTTAAATGAGTGACTTCAAGGTGCACCCATTGCTGACACAAGCATTCAGTTGCGCATATGCAGCTTGTATAATCTCCATTGAAAAGCATCTCCAATAGAATGTGACGCACTGGAGCAGCCACACATAAGCCTAAGGTCACCATGCCCAATGCCAAGTGTCAGCTAGTGGGGTACAAAGCTCGACAGCATAGGGCTGTGGAGCTGTGCAACTGCTTTCTCTATTCAGATGTACATAGTATATTTAGTTTAGCAGCCCTGAGCTCTGAGAACACCCTGTTTTAGACCTGCTCATTTCGTAAGTGATGGCGTGAATTTGTTTGCTGTTAGAGAGAATGGTTCTCTGAACTTATGACTACAAGCTTAGCAAGTTTATTTCAGAGGTCTGCATCTGTGTTTGTGTGTGGGTGTGTGCCTATCTGTGTGTACATTCAGGAGCTATCTTATGAGGTGAGAGAATCCAAAAGCCTGAAGTGAGTACACCTCTGAAAGCTTTTTCACAAACACTGCCTTTATGAAGCTCATATTTCTGCCTTCTTGAAGTCAAACACTTCTTTTTCACAAACCATGAAACAAAACATGTTATTTTACACCTCCTTACTTCTTACTACTTTCTCCTCGTAAAAACGTTTAAGGCAGTTTTCTTTGCCTTGCTCATATCACTGCCATCCTTACGTGACCTGACTGCAGACATACTGAGGGAAATAGACCCTCTTAAGTAAAAGTCGTTGAAAGTTTTCTTTTTATTGCTATACATATTTCAGCTGTCTGTTATGGATACCAAGGTTTGTCTCTACAACACTGCTGTGTCTCTTTTTTTGAAGAAGTAGTTTTTCCATTTCTGTCTTTAAAAAGTGCAAAAGGTCGACATTTGTCTTTTTTTCTTGCAATCGTGTAAATTGCAGACTGTAATGATGGTGTAATAAGCAGTTCAGTGGATGTAGCACCAATCGGTATCGGGCCAATAGTAGCAGATATATATATATATAGCCTGAAATATCACAGAATTACTTTTGCCGCAACTTACAGCTTAGTAAAGTACATCACATGATGTGAGTAGCCTAGCGCTAACATCAGAACGAGTAGCAGGGTTATTCTTACGAAACTGCCTCTAACCATGGGGGCATAATTATTACATAGATAAACAATGTTTATATAATTTCGTAGATCAGTTGGAGCTCTGTAAGGTACTGCAAATAGTTTTTTAAAATGAATCTTAGTTGTTTTTTTTTCTTTAGTTTTATTAACCAGTATATATTTATTTATTCATTTATTTATTTATTTATTGAGAGAAAAGTTGGTAAATGTTGTTACAAATTTTATTTTCGTATCGTGTTTTGTTGCGCTAATGAGCTTTTGGTCATTTAAGTTGAAAAATTTTAGTAAAAATCTGTTGTAAATAAATTTAAGTACATTATTTTGAATATCCTTTTTTTCTTTCTTGAAGGAGTTTGAGCAAAAATTGCTGCAGATTTTTTAGGTACTTGGCTGTATATTTCTTTCTGTAGAGGAGTGTTTGAGCATAGTACCTTTAAATGGCCGTCTAATATGTGCTGCATTTGAAAAAAGCTCATTTTATAGCTTAGTAGCTTTAAAATATTGGCTTGATACGGGCTGATACTCAAGGTTTTAGTATCAGAGAAAAAAAAGATAATGCCAGTTTCTGCTAAAGGGGTTTTCAGTGTTACGTTAGCACTAAGCTAACGCTGCTGCGTATTCACTTTTATAACAGCTGTCTGCATTACATGCAGATTATTTATTGACATTCAGGTGACATTCTTTATTTTGGATTCTTTACAGTTTGGATGTTAACTTCTGTAAGGTTTAAACTCAAAGCCGGTTTAAACAACAGATCTTCCGCACTGCCTTAAAAAAACTCAGTCTGAAACGTGCACGTATTAAAAGAACAATGCATGAACAAATTTTGCATGGTAGTCCAGGTACTATTGTGGAGGTAGTTTGATTCTACAAAAACTTTGTATTGCTATTCAAATAATTTCTCCTCTAATGAAAAGACAAATGAATTCGTTTTTGAGGTCAGTAACATTATCAAACCTGATTTTACCAAGCACACAGAACGCAGCTCCCTAAAACCTGCTCACCCCATAAACAGCAATAAACCTGCATGTGATGTCAGTGTTATTTTTGTTCTGTTGTCAAGAAGATAATAATGTACCCACATCAAAAAATACCACACACAAAACAGTGTTCAGTCTCTTGTGGTTTTTAAGTGTTCCGCTGTCAGCATTATCTAAATATCAGGTGCAACATTTTGCATTATTAACCTACAGGCCATGGTTTCTCTCAAACATACACCTCATGAGAATGAAGATCTGCTTTAAAATGACCTGCATTAAATTTCTTTAATGAAAATATTACTTAGGGTTTTCTGAACATCACACAGCATGACAGAGTCTTTCCATACGATACAAAATTGGTCTTGAATTGCCAGCTATTGATTCAAGCATGGACAGAGCAGGCCAAGAATTCACACACCAATCTCTGACGCACGGCCAGCAGATGATCACAGCTGTCCTGAGAATGCAATTGCAAATTGTTCTGGAGTTTTAAAACAATATAGTGAGGTATTGAGAAAGTCATGAAGAATTGTTAAATGAAGCTTCATGCTGAAAATCTTCAGATAAGGAAAATTTCTTTCTGAGTCCAAGCCAGAAGCTGTCACTAAGCACAGTGATCACAGTAGTGCACCATGATTCATTTCCACTGTCAGTGTGAGGGATTGCATAAATCAGGAACTCTTTTCTCTTCTGTAAGTTTTTTTCCATTGTAAGTTTTCTTTGGAGTGTCTTGGGGCTAGTTAGCGGAACTGACATTGGCTCAAGTTTGTTTCTTCAGTAATCTTGGAACCTGACGTAGATAATAGTCCAAAACTTTGTGGTGTTTGCACCTGTCAAATGTTTCTCTCTCAACTCTGAACTTCACTGCACTGAAAAAAATTAAAGATTTTTAAATGTTCTCATTGGTCTGATTTTAAAACATTGTAATTCTCTTTCAGTATCCTGTACGCGGACATTGTTGGTTTCACTCGTTTAGCCAGCGACTGTTCTCCTAAAGAGTTGGTGATAATGCTGAATGAGCTCTTTGGAAAGTTTGACCAGATTGCCAAGGTAAGTGAAGTTTTTCTTTATATATATATATATATATATATATATATATATATATATTATATATATATATATATATATATATATATATATATATATATATATATGAGACTGTTATTTGTGCTTTAGTAAAGGACCTGTTTTTATTAAACATTAGGGACAGATTCTTCCTGTATGCTAAAATTAATTGAACCAGTACCTGACTCTTAAAGGAGAATTCCTATGGATCTTTCAAAATCGCTGCATAATTCAGTTAATAAAACACTGTATGACCAAAAGTATGTGGACACAACTCTTAATTATTGAGTTTCAGCCACACCCACTGCTAACAGGTGTATCAAGCACATAGTCATGCAGAATCTACAGACAAACATTGGTTGGTCGTACTGAAGAACTCAGTCACTTTAAATGTGGCAGTGTCATAGGATACCACCTTTGCCACATGTTAGTGACATTTCTGCCCTGCTAGATCTGCCCTAGTCAACTGTAAGTCCTATTATTGTGAAAGTATCTAGGAGCAACACAAAGCGTAAAAACCATACAAAACTCACAGAGTGAGGCCGCTGTGTGTTGGAGTGCATAGAGTACATAACTCTCCTATCCTCTGTTGCCTCTCACACTGCCTCTGGAGGTAACATAAGCACAAGACCTGTGCATCGGGAGCTTCATAAAATAGTTTTCTATGGCTAAGCATCAGCACACAAGCCCAAGATTGCTATGTGCAATGCCAAGCGTCAGCTGGAGTGGTGTAACCAATTAATGATGCACAAATTTGTAAAAATGAGTGGAACTCCCTGTTAACTGCAACTGTTTATTTAGAACTCCTATATCTCTTCTGTTTGTGTCTTTCTCTTCTTTCTCTTCTGTTTGTGTCGTTTTCTTTGTGTGTGCATGTGTTCCTATAGGAGAACGAGTGTATGAGGATAAAGATCCTGGGTGATTGTTATTACTGTGTGTCTGGCCTTCCCGTCTCACTACCAAAACATGCCAAGAACTGCGTTAAAATGGGTTTAGACATGTGTGAGGCTATTAAGTAAGTGCATGTACACATACATATATACACACATACTCTCATTTTTTGGGTGAATAAAAAAAAAATCATGAATACATTTCCCCATTACATTTTGCAGGCTTGTTCGGGAGGCAACAGGTGTGGACATTAATATGCGAGTTGGTGTGCACTCTGGAAATGTGCTCTGCGGTGTGATTGGCCTACGCAAATGGCAGTTTGATGTCTGGTCACATGATGTCACCTTAGCCAACCACATGGAGTCTGGAGGGTTGCCAGGGTATGTCCAAGAAACACATAACACATGCATGCTCACACTAACCTCACCAGAGCTGTATTCGGATAGTCAAGTGAGGTCTCTGCTCCATTAGTCAGTTCAGTTAGTACTTTGAAACACTTGATTTATGTTTGTGACACACATGCTTTCTTAAAGTGTAAACTCATGAGAACTGGTCCTCTTGGTTCCAGTTCAGAATGTAAATCACTCAGAGTGTACAAAACATTACTTGCCTCCTCTTTCCTTGAATTAGACTGACCAGGTGAAGGCTGTGGTCTGCAATTGATTTGTCTTGTTAAATCCATGTTACACTTACTATCCATAGCAACTTGGTTGCATTTACATGCACAACAGTAATACAGTTTTTGTCTGTTTTTAGCAGTTATCTGATTATTCAAGTGTTAAAATTATTCATTATTCAAGCCATAAAAAGCCACAAAAGACCTGGATTTTAGATCAATAATCAGATGTTTCAGCACGTGCATATGTATATAAAGGTACTCTATGTTTATAACACATCACACTTATTAGTATAGTAATGGCTTTCTTGACTTGAAGTGTATTGTGTGCAGGTAATAGTGTTTCTCACTTTGCTATCCAACTGCTCTTTTAGTCATTGTAGATAAATATTAGGCCAGGTTAAAAAAAAAAGGACTTTCAAGGTTGAAGCCTTAAATAAATAACTGATACATTGTTCTAATTTGAGAGTTATATGTGCTGTGTAAGTATAAGTTTCTTGATCATGTTTACTCTGTCTGGTTGGGTGTAGCCGGGTGCATATCACTGAGGCCACCCTGAAGCACCTCAATAAGGCATATGAAGTGGAGGAAGGAGATGGTCATCTGAGAGACACCTACCTGAAAGAGCTCAACATCAAGACCTACCTGGTCATTGACCCTCGAGTGAGTACCCTTAATTAACAGGAATGAGTGTGTGTCTGTGTTGATGTGTGTGACTTTTGTTTTTTCGTTTGTAGAATGTGTAAAATGAATAAATCGAAATATATTCATTTTATTAGGCAGGCCTATATTGTAGCAGCAGCTATTGTTCATTTTATCAGCTACACTTAGCATATAGATGCATTTTGTAGTTCTGTAATTACAGTTTGCAGTTCATCATTTTCTTAGCATAATTTGTTAGCCCCCATTTTACTCCTTACAGGACCACCACAGAGCAGGAATTATTTGGGTGGTGGATCATTCTCAGCACTGTAGTGACTCTAACAGGGGGGTGGCGTGGTAATATGTATTGCGCTGGTACGAGTGGACACAGCAGTGCTGTTGGAGTTTTTGAACACTGTGTCCACTCACTGTCCAGTCCATTAGACACTCCTATCTTGATGGTTGAAGACGTAAAGTCAATAGCTCATCTGTTTCTGCACAGTTTGTGTTAGTCATCCTCTAGTCCTTCATCGGTTTCTGGACACAGAATGCCGTTGACACAATGATTTTTTTTGGTGGTGGACAATTCTCAGTCCAGGACTGACATTGAGCTGTGTGTGAGAGCCACTCTGCAACACACACACATACATACACACACAGACACACACACACGTCCCTGTCACTACAGTGCTGAGCCATGACCCATCACCCATATAATACCTGCTTAGTGGTGGTCCTGTGCTTGATAAGTGGAACTAATAGGATGGACAGTTAGTTTAGAAAGTGTACCTAGTAAAGTGTAATGCTCACTTTCGAAAATGTGTCTCCTTTAAACTCTCTAAAGCATGTTCTTGTTTTTCTTCTTTTTATTGTTGTCTATGGAGTAACACCCACTGCACGGAAAAGCACAAATCTAGCCTGTGAAATGCGTTTTTGGCACATTTAAATTGAAAAATCTTTTGCACTGAGCACCATGAAATACTGACGATGCTTTCTGGAGTGACTCAACCAACATGAAGGAAAAGCTAGTTTTGGCTGTTTTTGAACACACGGAATTGTATTCTGGCTTTTTTTCTTTGTATATTTTATTAGCTGAAATATTATCGACAGTGCTATGAAAAAGTATTTGCCCCTTCACAGTTTCTTCTTCTTCTATTTTTGCATGTCCCACTTGAATGTTTTAAATTTTAATATTAGACAAAAATAACCAAAGTAAGCGCAAAGACACAAAAATTAAATTTTATTTTTTCTTTCAGATTTAATTTATTAAAGGAAAAATGCTCTTCAGCCCTACCTGGCCCTGTGAAAAAAGTGATTGCCCCCTTAGCTACTAAATCAACCAGTTAACCAAATTCAGTTTGGGTTCAATCTCATTAGCCACTCTCAGACACCATTTATATACAGATGTGACTGGTAGATTGAAAAGTCATTGAAATCTACCAGTCTGGAAAAGGTTTGCAAAGTCATTGCTAAGGCTCCAAGGAGCCATATTGAGAGCTATTATCCACAAATGAAGAAAACTGGCTAAGCTACCAAATTTCACCAAAAGAGCGTCAACGACTCATCTAGGAGGTCACAAAAGCACCCAGATGACTATCTAAAGAACTGCAGGCCTCACTTGTCTCTGTTAAGGTCAATGCACACGATTCCACAATAAGAAAGACACTGGGCAAAAATGGCATCCATGGGAGAGTTTCAAGGCGCAGAACACTGCTGACAAAAAAGTACACAAAGGCTTGTCTCACATTTGCCAAAAAACATCTAGATGACCCACAAGATGTTTGGGATAATATTCTGTGGTCCGCCTGTCAGTTCATGACCTAAAGCTCAAGCGCAGTTGGGTTATGTAGCTGGACAATGATCCGAAGCTCACAAGCAAGTCCAGCTCTGAATGGCCCAGAAGAAACAAAGTTAAGCTTTTGGAGTGGCCGAGTCAAAGCCCTGACTTGAATTCCATCGAGATGCTGTGGCGGGACCCTAAATGGGCAATTTATGCTTGAAAACTCTCTAGTGTAGCCAAATTAAAACAATTCCGCGAAGAAGAGTGGGCCAGAATTCCTCCACAGCAATGTAAAAGACTCATTGCAGGTTATCAGAAATGTTTGATTGCTGTTATTACTGCCAAGGGGTGGCACAACCAGGTATTAGGTACATGGGGCAATTATTTTTTCACACGGGTGGTAAAAGTTTTAAATAAATCTTTATCTTCAATAAATGAAATGGTCATTTGAAAGCTTCATTTTGTGTTTACCCGTGTTGTCTTTATCTTGTATTAAAATTAGTTGGATGATCTAAAACATTTTAAATGTCACAAATTAGCAAAAATACAACAAATCGAGTGAGGGGCAAATACTTTTTCACAGCACTGTACATGTTCTGTCTAATATTACATTATGTCAGTTTTGAAATGTTTATCATCTTTCACATTTCACATATCTCAAATCGCTCTTGTGTTTACCTTCTTATCAATCAAATGCATTAACCTGCCCCCTAAGTAGTACGTCCTGCGGCACACCTCATGTTTGAAAAGACATCGTCTGAACGACACATTGAGTGTTTGTCTTGTACAGAAGTTACTTTAAGACGTTTAGTAAAGATTCATTGGACAAAAATAGCTTAGATTAAACCGTATTGCACTGTTGATTGTTAACATTCTCTTGATCATTAATCTAAACTCCTCCAATATGTGTATGTGTGTGCAGTCTAAGGACCCTTCGCAGAGCAGCCGCAGTGTTCCTAAGCAGCGTGTGAGCGACGGTCTGAAGATGAGAGCATCTGTCAGAATGACGCGTTATTTGGAGTCCTGGGGTGCAGTTAAACCTTTCGCCCACCTACAGAGCAGAGAGGGCTTCCTCACTGACGCAATGGTCAACGGCAAAAGCCGCTGCAAGGTGCGTGCACACACACACACACACACACACACACACACACACACACTGTAGATGAGCATATGCGCATATATATGTAAAAATTACCAGTTAGTAGTTCAAGATTCTTATGGTGTTTGTTACAGTACAGTAATGAGCGTTCATGAGAATTTGTGTGATTTATGTTTATTCAGGACATCCCTCTGAGATCAGCACCAAAAATCACAGAGAGGTGAGTAGGATGTTTAGGATTTGTGAGTTGGGGGGGGCATTTGGGGGAGGGAGAACGAACACCAGAAATCCTCAACTGAACTAATATCTCTCGCTCTTTCTCTCGCTCTTTCTTTCTCTCTCTCTCTCTCTCTCTCTCTCTCTCTCTCTGTCTCTCTCTCTCTCTCTCTTTGTCTCGCCCTCTCTTTCTTGCTCTCTAAATTTAAAGTTAAGACGTTCTCTCTCTCTCGCCCCCCTTTATCTGTCTTTCTTTCTCTCTCTCTCTCTCTCTCTCTCTCTCGCTATCTAAATTTAAGGTTAAGAAGTTTTCTCTCTCACTCTCTCTGTCTCTCTCTCTCTGTCTCTCTCTCCCTCACTCTCTCTGTCTCTTACCTTATCAGTCTTTCTCTCTTTCTCTCTCACACTCTCTCTCTCACTCTAAATTTTGAGTTAAGAAGTTAAAGTTGTCTCTCTCACTGTTGGTTCCTGGCAGTTTTGATGAATCTCTTGAGGAGCCGTTTTCATTGCCCGCCCCTCCATTCAGCACCAATAAGTGAGTGTGGATCCATGTTGGCTTGGCCAGTTTTCCTGGGCCACAGTTTCACTAACACTCACTGGGTTTCTGCTCGTGGGCCTCCAGCATGACCCCTAACAGCCACTCCCACACTGGAGATTGTGCCTCCTATCCCAGACAGAATACTGCACATCGCTAGTTAAGACTGTACAACTGACTGGAGAAAGTGTGTGTCCGTGTGTCTGTTTGTGTGCACGTGTTTGTGTCTGTGTCTGTGTGTAAGGAAATGGCTCTTTTCCTTCCTAGGCTGTATCGGTGCACATTGCTTTTTTTTTCTTAGGGGTTTAAACTAACACATGGCATCCTGCATGCCACACCTACTCACACACACAAAACCACTCCGTACTCCCTTTTCACACTGGCGGTTTGGCCTGAAGAGATCCATAACAAGCATGATGATAGCTGTGACCCCTGGCCCTGTCCCACCACTCACGCCCTCTCCACAGCACGCACTCCTCTCTCTCTCTCTCTCTCTCTCTCTCTCTCTCTCTCTCTCTCTCTCTCTCTCTCTCTCTCTCTCTCTCTCTCTCTCTCTCTCTCTCTCTCTCTCTCTCTTTCTGTGCGCATGTTTGGGTGTGTATTTAATTTACGAATGACTTCTGCAGGAATAAGTCCCAGAAGAGCAAGTTTGATGAAGAATTGCACAATGAGATGATCACCACCATAGATGAGCTGAGCTCCAGCAAGTGAGTCTCCCTCCCTTTCCGATTTCTGTTTCTTCTCAGTGCGAAACGTTCATGTTTTCTGTTCACATTTACCAGTGAGCCGAAACAAATGGCCACTCACAGATGAAGTAAGTAACATAGATTGACGATAGATCAACGGCGCATGCCAAGGTCTGGGATGTATTAGTCCGTAAGTGAACAGTTGGTTTGTGAGAGAAATGGGCAGGCATGGCGGGCCGAATCGTAATGTCTAGACGACTGGGTCAGAGCATCAACAAAATGGCAAGACTGGTGGGATGCTGTCAGCAGTGGTGAGAACTTACTAAGAGTGGTCTGACGAGGGACAAACCAGCAGCATGAGGGCCATGAAGAAGGGCTATTGTGGCACAAGTCACAGAAATTTTAATAATAGTTATGGGAGGAATGTGTCAAAACACAGTGCATTGCACCCTGCTGCATATGGGGCTACATATGGCCCATGTTAACTTCTGTCCACTGCTGAAAGGTATACTTCTTCTTGGCAGTGGCTATATACATGCAAAGATTTTTGCCAATCTGGTTGAATATATTCTGATTACAGATTAAGACTGAGGTGTTTATATGCACACTCTACTCAACAATCTGATGGAAAATCTCCGTTCTCATGCAGACTACAAGTAATCAGATCCAAAATTACGTGCTTGCGTAGAGAACCACTTAAATGTTACCATGACAGTGAGCACCACGTGAGGTCCAGTCTGAGTGAGATGAGTTTTTAATTGCTTTAAAATTATGACATACTCAGAAAAATGTACTTCATATGTATTAAGGAAGCGGCAAGAGGAAGACATGTTCTGAGACACACAAGCTGGACGTCAGTCCCACTGCTGTCTTGTAAAGCTCAAAGCTTAAACTTCGTCTCCTCTGCAGACCAGTTTCTGCTCCCGCCATCTTGAACGTTGTAAACTTTTGCTATGAAGCGAACACACATGCGTAGAACGTACTTACAAGTTCCGATTGGGAATGTAATTGCATACAGCCGTTTACATGGCTGTTATTCTTCTATTTAACGGATTATTTACAGGATTACCCACCTCATTCAGTCTGATAGAAATTGTATTGTGAATGGCCTCAATCAGACTAGTCTATTCCAATTCAGATATATATATGGACGTATTCTATTCCGATTGAGCTATTAGTTGGATTATTAATGGATATTTCCCAATGGCAGTGGCCTCTTTCAGCAGGATAATGCTCCCAACCACACTATAGACATTGTTCAGGAATGGTTTGGGGAACATGAAAGTGTTGCCCTGGCCTCCAAATTCCCCAGATCGCAGTCCAATCGACTGTCTGTGGGCCGTGCTGGAACAACAAATCCAATCCACTGCAGCTCCACCTGATATCTTACAGGATTTAAAGGATCTGCTGCTAACGTTTTGGTGCCAGATCCCACTGAGCATCTTCAGAGTTCTATGCCTTGGCGGGTCTGAGCTATTTTAACAGCATGCAGAGGACCAACAGAATATTAGACAGACTAGTAATATTTTGGCTCATTGGTGTAAATATAATGAACAATAAGCCAGGCTTAATCTTTGAAGTAGAAATTTAAACAGGTCTGAAATTTAGATCTGAACCTGACAGCAGCGCAGCCAGTTTTGATCTGAAACACAACCATACTCAAGCACAACTGAATAAATCTCCATCTTCCTCATAAAAGCATGAAGTTACCATGACAACAGCGATAGTCGTCATCAGATCAACGATTAACAAAAGAAAATTCAGTGTTAATTAAATATCCATAATTAAGTTTAAATTCCACTTGAACAAATGAATTCATTATTCGGTGTTTGAAAAAAACAACTTTTCACAATGCGATGTTGTCATGCTGGTCTCCTATGCCTCACTCCCAACAACATGAGTTTCTACAGTGGGCCAGAAATACAATTAAGATGCAAAAAGTTTAACCCCTTACATGGCCAGTACATGAACAAAGTGTTATTACACACTCTTATAACAGTTTGCATTGAAGTCCCTGTAGTTACTGAATAATAAATGGGTTAAAGGGACATTTCAACCTAAAAAAATCATTGATTGTTATTTGTCACTTGTACAGCAGTGCATCCCTCAGCCTCTCTGGTTTGGCAGAATTCATGATTTTTGTTTTATTGTCCATCAGTGTTCTCTAACTAAAATACTCAGCATGCAAATATGTTGTACAACCACTGGGATTCCTCTCACAGTGATAAAGAAATCCTGAATGCTGGCATATCCACTAATGTAAAGGCTAAGTAGGTATGTTTACAGCAGGCTAAATATTACATTTTTGTCCAGAGTGTCCCTTTAAGGTATTAACAGTAAGGAGGAATAATATTATAAAGAGAAAAACTTTTAAACCTTAAACCTGTTATGGGTGGGAGACGGGATATGAGAAATCAAACATGAAATCTGAAATCAAACTGATCTTGACAGACCTGACGTGTATAGTCGAATCCTGCTGGGATTGGAATAGATGTTTCAAACTTTACCTTGACAGATGACCTTTACATATGTTTATTTCCTGTCTGCAGGCAGTGGGAAAATTCAGAGGAAATCTCAGTTCTCACTTTGTGGTTCACGAAGCGAGAGCTGGAGAAACAGGTAAGCATCACATATAAAACCTGCACATTCACAGTGCTGATCCTGAATCAGCAGCTCACTCTTCATACCAAACTTACATCGCTGGGACTTGTATAGTATTTCTGGCTGTTTAATTCTGTATTTGGTAATTACTATTATCTGTTAACCTTCGTTTGTTTTTAGTTTGGCACTAGTGTAATTTATTATCACTGTCCAAAGAAAATCTTGTACATCTAAAACACTAAATTTATAAGAGAACTATAAAACATTATCTTTTAAAGTTAATAATTTTGAACGGTTTGTTGACACAATGTAAAGGAATGTTGAAACATTGCACCTGTTATTTTCATATTGCTGGATTTAGGAGGTTACCTTATGACAGTAATGATATATAGGCGTATGCAAAAGTTTGGGCAGCCCTGGTCAGATTATTTATTTTGTTAATTTTTTAAAGTAAAAATAATTAGAGAACACACCTCTGCACATTTTAATATACAATTACTGTCTATTTGCTGAGTTTAACATATTACTGTAAAAGAAATAAAGCATAAAATGTCAACGTAAAATTTGCCATGTTTAATTTTTTTCAATGTAGAGGATGTGTTAACTTATTTTCACTTAGAAAATCAATAAAACGTAATATTTAATGTTCAAACCTTTGCATCCAACTGTATAATGGTATATATTAAAGTGCACCCTTTTTTAAAGATTGAAAAGATAAGGAGTCTTTTTTCTTTTATTCTGTCTCATTATTGCATATTAAGACCAAGACTTTTGTAGAAATGTCAAATGGAGCTGAATGTGAAAATGCGTTAAGTAATAAAATGGTCATGTATCTCTCAGTACAGGACCATAGAAATGCCCAGTTTTAAGTACTATATTGGATGCGCCAGCTTCATCTTCATTTGCATCTTCGTCATTCAGATGTCTGTCACCATGCAGTGAGTAATTACAAATACACACAGGACTTCAGTTACTATATTACATGTCTGGGGTGTTATTCTGCTAACATGTCAGTACATCGCTGTCCGTTTTTCAGGCCGAGGCAGCTGGGAGTGACGTTTACAGCCTTAGCGTGTGTGTTGCTGTTGACCCTCGCCATCTGTTTTGCAGGTCATATTCAGGTTAGACTGCTGCTGCTGGCACTTGCCATTTTTACACTTGCTCATTATGGTTTGCATGTTTTGTGGTTTGTGTGTGTTCATCCTGTTTTACTTTCTACATGGAGCAAAATATAAAATCTGCTGTTTTGGAGACATTTTATGGTCTCCATGAGGGTAAGCGCTTTTTTTAAATAGACAAAATTCAGCAGCTTTCTCTCGAAAGTTGAAAAGGAGCCAAACATTTTTGTGTTTGATTACTGAGGTTTCCACTGACATTGTGTTTAGCTCTAGTAATATATGCATAAAGCGTAGTTTATAGCTGTAGTAGTGTATATACATAATAATTGTACTTTGTACATAATGAGTGTCTGTGCGTGTGTATATGTGGTCCTCACTTGGAGGTTTCATAGATGACAACATATATTGTGCTAGACTGTACAATATGTGGAGAATGTCATGTGACTTGACCATGCTTTTATGTGATTGGCCAAAGACTGTTTGGAATGTCTGTGACCACTAAAAACAGACTGACATTTGCCATAGAGTGTGTGTGTGTGTGTGTGTGTGTGTGTGTGTGTGTGTGTGTGTGCGCCTCTCTCTCTCTCTCTCTCTCTCACACACACACACACTCATACACACACACACACACACACACACACACACACACACACACACACACACACACACACACACACACACACACAAATATGCATACATTGTTACAGTAAAAGTAAATCTATAGCCTACAAGGTGGGAGAAATGGAAAATGTAACCATTGCTACATGTGTTCTAAGCATGCTTACTTGCCTCAGTGGTGCCATAAGTGGTGCCACAAAGTCTCTAGAGTGAGATTTTCTTTGGAGGATCTTTTGAAAAACTAGAACTGCTTCGGGGCGGATACTTGAGGGCAGGCGATTAAAAAAAATGTTAGTTGTGTAATACAGAAGGAAGCCAGATAGTAGGCTTGAGCTGATTGGCAGTAGTATTGTTAATCGCAGATAGTATTGTCACTCACCAATGGTTTGCATCTATAGTGATTGTCAATCAAGTTGGATGATTGAAATGTCTGAAACCACACTGTACGTGCCTTTAAGATGCACAAAAGTATTTTTTTTGATCTCGCAATCTATTTTCATTGATCAATATTTCTTATAATGTAAAACATTAATCCATGTCCTCAGTCCTGATTTGTTGTCAGGTTTTACAACATTTAGTAGCAGTGCAAGTTAGATCTTTATTTTCTTACCTGTTGTTGTGCTTGAACTTAAAGTCGTGCAGCAGCCTTCCACTCACAAAATGACTTCCCTCATGAAAGGTTAATGGGTGCTTTAATGATTAAATCAGTTATTAAAAACCAAAAAGACAGCGCCTAGCTACAGTAACAGCAGCCTTTACTTTTTCACTTCACATGGTTAAGCTTTAGCCATTTTATTATTTTAAAATGTTTGTAATAACATGATTAATTAAAACTATAGCAAAAACCAAACCATCCCAAATACTACCAAGCCATACCAAGAACTACCAAGCCATACCAAAAGAGTTAAGAAGTTTCCGACCAAAGCATGTTTTATTTTTTTGTTTATGCAGGCACGACAAGGTAATCGTGTGTTACCACATAACGTGTCATAGTCATACCGAAAAGAGTTACTGGAGAACAGTGCTGCAGATATCAGTTTAGAGGATCCTCAGTCAGTCAGTGTGAGGAGCAGTCTGCAATCTGTACTTATGGTCCTGTTATTTGTGCATGTAAGTATGCACTGAAAATCATACGGTGTGTTGGTGGCACAGGAAAGTGGCTCTTTTGTTTTGGGCTGCCTACCCCCACCTCATATGATAGCATTGTTAATTGGTGTTGGCTAGGGTGCTCAATCGGATGATGGTGTATTGCATACAATATCACAAGCTTACCAGATAGTTCTCTTTAAGGAGGCAAGTATCATGTCTGTGGTTGTTAGCCTCCCCAAGTCCCATGGATTTCTTTATCACTGCTATGGTTGTGTGATGTATTTGTGCAGTGCATGCTGGGTATTGTAGTAAGAGAACATGGATGTGAAACAGTGCAAAAAGATAGAAAATTGAGAATTCTGTAGGCTGAAGAATGCAGTTCTGCACTACAGAATATTACATAATCTGACAAAAAAGACAATGCATGCTAATTTTATGCCAGAATGTCCCTTTAACTGCATCATTGAGACATGTTTTGCACAGATTAGGTTATTCTCCTCTCTCTCTCTTGCACAGGTATATACACATTAATAAATGTAATATATGTGTGTACATATTAAAACGTGTAGACATATCACATACTTATCACATACTCCTTTTTCTGTTCTTGTCTTGCAGAAGATGTTCCCAGAGAAGTTAGAATCCTGCCAGTGGTTAACAGCTATGTCAGAGGCAGTGGTTAAAAGGCCTTTTGTGCGTCTTCCCCTAGCAACCATCGCCACGACAGTTATTGTCATCATTGCCTTGTTTAACCTGGTAAATTACATATTGTGTAGTGGAGAGTAAAGTACTCCAGCAGTTTTGTCACGTGACTCTGTTCATCTGTCAATCTGTTTTTTTCACAGGTTTTTACTGAACTGCCAAAAAATTTGACGACTGATTCCTTTTTTACAAAAAATGGAAGCATCAGTGATGAAGACCTCTTTTACTTGCCTGTGAGTAGCCTGTGCATGCATGGACACCGACTTACACATACAGTACTGTGCAAAACCCTTTATTTATTTAATTTCCTGTTAAAATGGCCATTAAATACGTTTTATTTATATTTCAGGAGATATTTCTGACTCAATTAGATGTAAGATGTACTGCTTATGTAAAGCAGGGGGAAGTCAAAGAAAATAAATAATAAAAAATAAATAAACAGAAGTTCCAGAAATGTTCAAAAAAGGCCTTTTTTTCTGCATCTTCCCCAAGCAACCTAACAACTGAGCAAGACCTGGTAGACCACCCAAATTGTCAACATCAGATAAACAGTACTAAAGGGTGGTCTCTGATTTTTCTAAAACGTTGTACATATGTACACACACAACAAGCACAATTCAAACCACTTCTCTCTCATAATCTTTTGACACGCAACAGAAACACACAATTGCTAAGTCTAAGCTAAGCTGTTGCTAAGTCTAAGCACTAAGTCTACAAGATTTCATTCAGTATAACCACCTAGACCCTGTTTTGTTTAAAAAGCATCACAATAATTCCTACATTTCCTTAATTGTACATTTTTTTTCATTCTCTCTCAGTATTCAGTGTACAGCTGTATCCTGGCTTTATTAGTGTGCGGTGTGTTTTTAAGAGTGAGTTTCGAGCTGAAAGTGGCCTTCCTCTTCATCGCCTGTGCAATTTATTATATCATCATCTACTGCACCAACGATCTGTTCAACAAATACAGCTGCTCGCTCAATGGAAACTTTAACAGGTACAGACTCGCACACACATGCTTGGAAACAGCATTTTGAACTGTGTAGGTATGGCTGTATTGGCTACTTACAGTGTATGGAGTTGTAGTGCTGATAACTATGTATCTGTGTGCTAGCAGCTCTGAGGAGTTGCTTAGGAAAGGAGGGCTGATGAAACACCCACAGACTATGAGCTGCATCTACATCACTCTGTTTTTCTTTACCATGCTGCTTATATCACGTCAGGTACACACACCACACTGTTTCTCTTTGTCAAGCAACACATTACACACACTGTTTGTCATAGATATAGAAATATTACACATGGCATTAATGTAGTCCAGATAGATATAGAATCTGTGGGGCAAAAAAGACACTAGATTGACTTGAGCATTTAGAGCAAAACAATGGGGATGTCCCAAAGTGATCCAAAGGATTGGAACCAATCTAGGTTTATATTCATGGTTTGGGTATCTGCTTTATTCAGGCCGATTTGCATACACAAAATATATATATATTTCAAATTTTAGCCCACCAAAAAAACAAAAAGTATGTGGACACCTTACCATCACGCTTATATGAGCTTGCTGGATATACAATTTCAAAACCATGGACATTAATGTGGAGTTGTCCCATCTTCCGTAACAGCCCCTACTTTTCTGGGAAGGCTTACACAAGTCTTTTGGAATTTGCAAAATTTGTGCCCATTCAGTCAAAAGAGTTTTTCTGAGGCCAGGCACTGGTGTTGGATAAGAAGGACTGGTTCGCAGTTGATGTTCCAACTTATTCCGAAGTGTTCAGTGGAGTTAATGTTAGGGCTCTGTGCAAGCCACTTCCTCCACACCAAAATTGTCAAATCATGTCTTTGTGGACCTTGCTTTTTGCACAGGGGCACAGGAAGGGGTCTTCTCCAAACTGTTGCCACAAGGTTGGAAGAATATAATTGTCTAACATGTCTTTGTATGCTGAACATTAACATTAGCCTTCACTAGAAGTAAGGGGATTAACCCAAACTTGAACTCCCTATGCATGATAGTAGGTAGCATTCTCCTGGCTTCTGCCAAACCCAGATATGACCATCAGGCTGCCAGATAGTGAAGAGGGGTTAATCACTCCACAGAACACGTTTACGCTGCTCTAGAGTCCAGTGGCAGCATGCTTTACACCACTCTAGCTGATGCTTGGCATTGCGCATATTAATGTTAAGCTTGTGTGCAGCTGCTCAGCCACTGAGACCCATTTCATAAAGATCCCGAACAGTTTTTGTACTGATGTTGATACAGAGGCAGCCTGGAATTCTGTAGTGAGTGATGCAACAGAGGATAGGTGATTTTTACATGCTTTGCACTTCGGTACTTGGCAGCCCCGCTCTGTGAGTTTGCATGGTCTACTGCTTTGTACCATGTTTAAAATCACTAAGCTCTTCAGTGGTCGCATACTTATGGTGGTGCAGTGGGTAGCGCTGTCGCCTCACAGCAAGAAGGGCCTGGGTTCAATTCCCGGCCAGGCGACCAGGGTCCTTTCTGTGTGCATGTTCTCCCCGTGTCTGCATGGGTTTTCTCGGGTTCTCCGGTTTCCTCCCACAGTCCAAAGACATGCAGTCAGGCTAATTGGACATGCTGCATTGCCCCTAGGTGTAAGTGTGTGTGTTGAATGTGTGTGTCTGTCTGCCCTGCGATGGGCTGGTTACCTGTCCAGGGTGTATCCTGCCTTCCGCCCAATGACAGCTGAGATAGGCTCCAGCACCCCACCGTGAACCAGAAGGATAAGCGGTTTAGATGATGTGTGTATGTGTGTGTCCACATACTTTTGGCCATTTAGTGTACATCAGTCAAGAATGTATATTACTTATAAACAGGAAGTGATTTTATTGCAGTAAGCAGCTAGTAGCGAAATTGTCAGATCGGTCCATCAAATTGGATCATAAGTCAATATTAAACACACCATAAAATGATAATTTAAAAAAAGTAGGCCAAACGCCAGAATGTTGTTAAGGGGGTTCTCTACAAAACAAGGTTGATAGTCTGAGTGGAAAATAAATTTTACAGTTATTTTTATTTATTTACAGTATTTGAAAAGATCAGATTAACACTGTGAACATTTTCACGATGAATCGACCAGTAGAAATGCTTCAAAATGGAATAAAATAAATTAACTTAAAGAACCTTCCATCTTGTCCTATAACATTAATGTTTTGCAGACAAACAGCAACAGTATGCGACCCACTGTAATTGAACTCTTCTTTTTCCTCCCAGGATGAGTTTTGTTGTCGTCAGGACTTCCTACTGAAGAACAAGAACCGCACAGATAAGGATGAGATTGAGCTGTGTGAGAACCTCACGCGGCTCCTACTGGAGAACGTTCTCCCAGCGCATGTGGCTGCGCTCTTCGTTGGGGAGAACAAAAAGAACGAGGTGGGGCTGCTCTCCACTAACACTTTACTAAACCAGAAGTACAAGGTAGGAACCACAAGCAGGTGTGTTCAAGATGACTCTCAGTCCAGTCATCCATTTCACCTGCCCCAGCCTTTCATACCATGCCATACTGTACCATACCAAATCATTGCAACACATCTGGTGCAAAGATGTTTTTGCACTTCTTACAATTTAAGAAGTAGCATAGTATGGACTTATTCATGTTTGCTAACAGAGCAGGTTAATTTGAAGCATGTTTCTGTAAGCTCTTTGCCCACTGTAGTTTAAACTTCTGACATTGTTAAATAATGAAAGGCAAAGACTCAAAAAGTGCATGTTTCACAACTCTCTTGTTCTTTGTTAGGCTTTATTTATTGAATCCACTACAATTCACTGAATCCATACATTAAGGCCAAGAGTATTAAGAGAGAGTATTAATTTCAGAGAAATATCTTCTAAGGTTGGATTTTCTAGATGCAGACTAAGTCTATGTATGGACTAAATAATTGTATTAATGAGGATCTGTCGTTGAAACTACTTCATAGGACCACATCAATCATCGCCTTGCCTTGCTCTCAACCTCCTATGCACCCGTCATCCCAAATTAAGCCTTTTCAGTCCAAGTCTTTTTCTATTAATAACTATTTCTGTGAAGTCTATTAATTAAGTTCTTCATTAAGCAGTGGAGTTCATTAGTGAAATCAGATGGTGCTCTACAGTGTTGGCGCAAATACACTACAATCTTGTCGAGTACCAGGGCTGTAATGTTACATAGCAAATGTGTCTTGTCCAGTCTCATCAAATTAATCTCCTGGGAATCCATGTTTCCAGTTCATTGACTTGTTAATCTAACACTGTCTGATGATCCAAGTTTATAGCATTACTGTCATGCTCCTAAAACTAATACTGTAGTGAATAAAACACAGAGAACTGCTCTATACCACAAAGTTGATGTTACATCACACAGTTAGTAAAAGAAGTAGACCACTGCATTTGTGCTAACATCTCATGTGAAGTGTTGGAGCTATAAGAGACAGGATTTAAATGCGAGCAAAAGGTCAGTTAATAGAAAGCAGATCAGCATTTCCTGCTTAGAGATAAAACAGTGCCCAAATATCACAGCTTTTGCGAGGAAACTATACCGGTAGTAGTGTTTACTACAGGTTTGGGACAGGGGAGCCAACGTATAAAAACAGTGAAATATATCTGTAATATTTAATGTGCTCAAGGAAAGTTGTACTTTGCTTTAAAATGGCTTGACAAATCATGTGATTACTGAAACACTTCTCAGTTCTCATCACATCATTAAATGAAAAAAAGACTTATTTTTTCATTTAATGATGTGCCTTCCCCCTAGATAAATGTAGAAAAAGATTAGCAGTGCAGGATCAGAATTGCTCCAAACATATAATCAGCCAATCTGTGTTGTGATTTCCTGACATACAGTGCTATATTTTTCCCTTCCCAATTTCTTCTATTTTCACATATTTGTCACCCTTGAATGTTTCAGATCACCAAACTTTGTTTAATTTTAGACAAAAATAACCTAAGTAAACACAAAATGCTGTTTTTAAATGATGACTTCATTTATTGAAGGAAAAATGCTGTTCAGCCCTACCACTTGCTAATTGGCCCCTTAGCTACTAAATCAACCAGTCAACCATATTCACTTGACTATTGGGTTCAATCTCACTAGCCACTCCCAGGCATGATTACTGTTAGCCTTGTTGAATCTAAATATCACCCATATAGAATGTGTCTGGCAATGTGAAGCAGCTAGAAGTCTCAAAAAGCAGCACGTGATACCACGTTTTAGAGATTTAAATACAGATGCATAGCAAAGTCATTGAAATCGGCCAGTCTAGAAAGGAATACAAAGACATTGCTAAGGCTCAGACTCCAGTGTACTAGAGTTACAGCCATTATCCACGAACGGGGAAAACTCGGAACAGTGGTGAAACTTCCGAGGAGTGGTCGGCCTACCAAAATTTCATCAAGAGCACATTGATGACTCATCCAGGAGGTCACAAAAGGGCCGATATGAACATCTAAAGAACTGAAGACCTCACTTGCTTCAGTTAAATCAATGCACACGATTCCACAATAAGAAAGACACTGGGCAAAAATGGCATCCATGGGAGAGTTGCAAGGCACAAACCACTGCTGACCAAAAAGAACACAAAGGATCATCTCACATTTGCCCAAAATGTCTAGATGACCCCCAAGACTTATGGAATAATATTCTGTGGCCTTTAAGTCCTCAACTTCAATAAATAGAATGACCATTTTGCTGCTTTGTGTGTGTACTCATGTTATCTTTATCTTATATTAAAATTAGTTGAATGATCTGAAACATTTAAATGTGACAGTTTAGCAAAAATAGAAGAAATCGGGTGAGGGGAAAATACTTTTTTACAGCACTGTACACTTTTGCATATTATGCCAATGCCATAGCGTAATTATGCCTAAGTACTAAAGTACTAAGTCCACTTACTCATTCGAGCACTTTATTAGATTTTGTTAAATTGGCAACAATAAAAAAAATAAAATAAAAACATTCAAATTATGCTAGTGTGCTTCATGTGTGAACTTTAAAAAAAAGAATAATTAAAATCAGCTTTAAAAAATTAGCCATCTAAAAAAAAAAAAAGGCAATGACATAGCATTCCCTCGCAATAATTTTGTGTTCCCTTGCAAATGTTTTGCATTCCGTTACAATAAATTTGCTTTCCCTCGCAAATGTTTTACATTCCTTCACAATAATTTTGCATTCTCTTGCAAGTGAATGGGAATGCTAAACTTCTGTGAGAGAATGCAAAATTATTGCAAGGGAATTCAGTGTTTAAGAGAATGCAACAATTTTGAGAGGGAAAACAATGGTGGTGGTGTATTTTTTTCCCCCACAATGTCACGTTACTTGAAAAACAAAACACAGACGTTTTTACATTTTGGGTTTTTACTTAATGAATATCGCTTTTTGGTTAAACACTTTCTCACACACACCTTCTACATATGTCAAATATAAGGGTGATTCGACTTGGTCCTCTGATTTTTCCAAATTCCATAACCATTGCTTTCATTTCATACATCTATCAGTCTCTCACATGCCTGTGCATGAGTTGTCATTAGGGTTCAAGCACGCAGTTCAAGACAAACTAATTTACAATTTGGACCATTTAGCTCTGCCTACTAGTCCAAACTAGTCCTAGTTTTTTTTTGCTCAATTCTCTTGTAACTGGCATCACAAAATGTGTGACAGCATCTCTGAGACTATTAGTGAATTTCCAAGGGCAACTTGATGCAAATTTATGGCCATCATCAGCCAGTTAGCTTTCCACCGGCATTTGACAGACTCAACACTGACCAATCATCATGAAACTTGAATGATGAGTCTGTGTAGGCATTTTCTAACAACCAGTGAGCAGTCAGTGAAGTTTCAAAAGATTTGGCCACTGTTCATAAAAATCAAGTATATATTATAAATATTATAACTTATGATCAGACAGCTGGTTGTACACTATGCAGTACGATGTTCCAACAAAGCAATCGCAAGTGTATTAAAAAATGCATCATTAGTTTGCAGCCATTAGCTCTTTGAAAATGGCACTTTCTGAACTAGTTTGTAGGTTCTGATCCCAGCTGCTCAGAATTGGTCTTGAAATACTCTGTGGCCTCTCTAGGTAATAATTATCAAAAATGTTGACTTTTAATAATCATAGTCTCTCAAATTTTGGTCCAGATTGGCCATGAGAGGGTGCTTTAGCGCTCAAAAACACTTAAAATCATAAAAAATGTTATTACATTGTTACCATGTAGTCTACAGATAAACAGGTGGTGCTGTTTGATTCAGTTATGTGCCCTGAATAACTTTGTAATTACGTGTTATGTAAGAAATTACAGCCTTGGTATTTTGACTAATTTATACAATGGCTACAGCTTATTATACAAAGGTCAGGAGGTCAATCTGATCAAAACTTGAACCTCTTTGTTGAAGGCCCCGATCAATAATCATAACATATGGAGACCTTTTGACAAATTCTGAATCCTTTCACTTAGTTCCTTTATGCTAAGAAGATTATGGGAGCACTGGCCTCATTATGGCATGCATATCAAAGAGTTGAACTTTGGGAACAAAATCACCTTGCAAAAACAGCTGTGTCAATTTTAACATTAGTCATGTATTTTTGATATTTGTGTTGACAATCTGCTCTACAAAGCTCAATATATATATATATATTTTTGTTTTAATATATTTAATATATACTCAATATATCAGTACATATGAAATTAAGCATGTGTGACATTTAAAACCCAAACTGCATTCTTGGCTCAAACTGCTTGTGGGCTCATTGCGCTGATGCGTGCTTGAACTCACAGATTGCCATTTGCGGTTATGTTGTTGTGTTTGTAATCTGAATTACTGTATCTGAGCTGGCTGTATTGATCTAATAACTACTTCCACATGTATGTTTCTGGTCTAGGACCTGTACTACAAATCCTATGACTGTGTGTGTGTGATGTTCGCCTCAGTTCCTGACTTCAAGGAGTTCTACACAGAGTGTGACATCAATAAAGAGGGACTGGAGTGTCTGAGACTTCTCAATGAGATCATCGCTGACTTCGATGAGGTGAGCTGGCAGCTTGGGGCCATGATGCATACTGCATGAGTCACCCTTCTGTCGTCCTTGTGCAGATCAGTTCCTAAATGTCAAGGCTTTTTTTGTGAAGACAGGAAAAAGAAGTGTTCAAAACTTAATCTTTTTCTCTCCTCCCTCTCTGTTTTACTGCAGCTGCTTTCTAAGCCCAAGTTCAGTGGAGTAGAGAAGATTAAGACTATTGGCAGCACTTACATGGCAGCTGCTGGTCTTAGTGGAACCCCTGGACAGGAGACTAACCAGGTAAACTATTAAACTGCGGAAAAGAGCTGTACATTTGACCTATATGTGCACATCAGTCTACTGCTGTGTATATTATTAAACTATTATTATTATTGTTTCTACTAATTAGGACTGCAAATAATGCTTATTTCTACAATCAATTGATCCGTCATCTATTTTTTGATTAATAAGCTAATCAAACAGTCATGCCTTTTTTTCCCGTCACTGCAAGTAACCTAAATTCTGTCTGTGCGACATGCAATTTCTTCCTTTGTAGTACAATGAAAAATAGAAGTTGTATTGCCCCAAGTGCTTCCTGTAGTATATTTGCATTTGTCAGAGGGATCACGAGTCATATGTTCGTAGACTATAATAAAGTCATCTAAGTAGTTGATTTTTTTACCATGAACAATAGATCAGCTTTGTTGACTAATCATTACAGCCCTGCTAGTCCTACTATTTTTGTGTATATTTATTGCTACTTATTTATGACTCTGTATATTGTACACTGTAGGACTATAAGCCACATCTCTGCACTGGGCAAATGTAACCTGGACAGCACCATTCAGATTATTAAACTGCACCTGCCCCTAATTACATATTCTATGATTTGCATTTGTTGTCTCTTCTTGATCATGCAAATGATTTCTGCGAAGCCATCAAGTAGTAAAATGTCATGTATGTTAACAACCCACATGAATAATTATGGTGGAATGCAAGTTGCAATGTCATAATAATGTGCAAATAATAATAATGATTGTTTTATACATAAAAATGTAGCTCAAAGTGCTTTACAGTACATTTAAATAAAAGGAAAGTAAATTCAAGTGAGACTTTGAAAATTGGGGGTAAGAAAAGGGGGCCTTATCATACAGCCCCAGAAATGCTTACTTAGATTTTCATCATAAAGATTCAATGTTGTTTCACTGGCTAGCCAGTATTACAAGAGTTTTGAAAAATGACAGTAATACAAATGATGTGATCTGAAACAGTGTTGTTGCGTGTGCTAGGAGAACCCTTCAAACCTTCAAGTCCATTCAAATATAATATTTATATAATAATTATTAATGTGGTGTTAACTATGTGGTATTTGCAATATTGAACATTTCAACACTGCCCATGTCATTTGCAAAAGCATAGTAGTATGAGCTGCGACATCGGTTAAGTTCTGTGTTCTGCTTGCATAAAACGTCTTAAGCTTTTATCTAAAGTTAAATGCTTGAAGGATACATTTAAATGTAAATTTTGCAACTGTCAAAAAACTTAAGCAATGAGTTGTAAACTTGGGTTCATTAATTCAATTATGCTCTCTTTGTAATAAAACTTGTACATGTTTATTGTTCTGACAAGTACTTACAAAATCCACAATATCCTGAGGAAAGTGTATTGTGATGTAATTCAACATAATAAATGTGTTTTTGCTCATGTACTACACACACTTCCTTCAGTGTCCATGTTGTAAGTGTGAGGGCTGTGTGTTGGCAGGACCGAGAGAGGCAGCAGGCTCAGATTGGAATTATGGTGGAGTTTGCCATCGCCATGATGGGAAAACTGGACGGCATCAACAGGCACTCGTTTAACAGTTTTAGACTACGCGTGGGTGAGTGTTGTGGACACGAGTACACACACAATTATGATTATTTGGCCAGGGAGGCCTGAGAGGAAACAGACACACACACATGCACACACACTGCCTGCATAAATTCTTAATAATTGAACACTTCAGTCTCCCCTGCATCCTCTTCTGTCAATGTTTAATGGTTGTGCTTGTGTTCTGCTTGTCTGTATGAGCTAATCATGATGAAGTTTTAGAGATCATGTTCACTAGGCAAGTTTTCAAGATCTAATTACTTTTCAGCTTAATGTTTCTGGCATGTTTCCCAATGCACACAGCACAAAGGTTGTTAAATAAATAAAGAATCTATTATAACAGTCAAATAGGTTGTATGATCTTAAGAATGTGATGCCATTTGGAAACAATCCAACTTTAAATCACCTGACTCTTTATGGATGGTGGACAGACTGACTTTACTGTGCTGTGGCAGCTTACAGTGGCCCAAAAAAGTATTTGGACACTTTAATCGTTGGTAAACTTGAAGAGAAAAACACTTTTTCGTATGTCAAACTGATGGTAGACTGTGGAAAATTCCAACCAGACTGCACACACTAAGACTACTGTAAAGGACAGAAGTGGAAGCATTAAAGTTTGTTTTTCTTAGAATGGTGTTGGTGAGCTTGTGTTCACTGACGGGACCATGAACTCTGTGTACAAAGGGATTTAGAATGCAAATGTGCAGAAGCCGGCAGAGAGATTGCTTGAATGATAACAATCTGAAACACACCAGCCAGAAAGAATACTTTGCCAAAAATAAATTAGAGTGTTGGAATATTGTTAAAAAAATGACACTTGGTTTGACACAGTGATATTAATGCATTTTAAGAATGGCAGAAATGTTTAAATACATGTTGGGGCATCTGTATGTCTGGTGTTTTGTCTCTAATGCTGCTGCAGAAGGAGCGTGCAAACTTAATATCTGCACCACATTGGACAATAAACATCATGCATAAAACATAAACACTGAATAACTTCAATAAAGCCAACCAGTTGATCTGTTTGCTCCTCTGTCAACTTTCATATGAATTCATATATTAACAGCAGCTCAGGATGACCCGTTTCATAAAGGCAATTCCTCAGAATACGCATTACAAAATGCACCTCTCTGGTAGTAAAAATTGGAATAACAAAGAAAAATCCAAGGAGTTCAAGAGGAGAAAAGCTTTTATTAAAAGCACATGGTCCAGTACTCAGCTGCTTCAGCAGCAGGCCTGGCCTTTAACTCTCTGAAGAGCTACTTTATGCCCTCAGATTCATTCCTCTGGGTCGTGTGTGTGTGTGTGTGTGTGTGTGTGTGTGTGTGTGTGTGTGTGTGTGTGTGTCTCTTATATGTGCATGCGTATAAATATCACTGCTGTGCTGCTGTAACTTTATATCTACAAAATGGTAACATTATAAGTGAAAAACATTCATAATTTCATTGCAGCATGATTTATCTTTAACGTAATGTTGTACTATTTTTTATTCGTTCTAAAAAAAACAAAATAAATATATGTACAGTACTGTGCAAAACATCAGATGCAACCCTTTCATTTGCTTAATTTCTGGTCCAAATGGCCATTAAGTGACAGTTACTAGTTTTTCAGCATGAACAGAAAAAGCAGAAACATGTATTTAACAGAAAATTACACAGAGGCCATAACAACTAAATAGAAAATATATATTTTTGTATTTATTGTGTAATCCCTTTACCTTTATAACAGCTTCATTCTTTCTGGGGGGCTTGCTTTCCACTTTTCTAAGAAATCTGCAGGGATAGTTTCCCCCCCCATCCAAAGTTCAGTCTTAATAGTTGGTTGTATTTTCTGCTTCTCACGATCCAAGTAATCCCAAATACATTCAGTGATGTTGAGGTCTGGACTCTGGGGTGGTCAGTCTGTTGTTCTGAGAACACCAGCATCTTCTTTGATAAGTACATCTTGATCTCATCAGCAGAGTGGTTGGGGTTGTTTTCTTATTATAGATGAATTTCCTCAAAATCCAGTGTTTTCCAGAGGAACTGCATGGTGTATTAAAATTTGATTTTCAGAATTTCTTATGCCTTCACTCAAAAAGCAAATCAACTCCAGATGTTATACATTCTTAAACTGCCACTGATCCACTGTACTTGACTGATGGTTGTAGACATCTTTCAAAGAGTCCTTCATTGCTTTGATGGCGTACATCCGTACATCCTACTGCAAATTCTTTTTTGTGTATTTCCTTTTCTCAGTGACAGCTACACATCCTTTGAGACTCATAGTGTTGAGTTGTCTTCTCACAGTGAAAGGATGGACAGAAACACCTGTGGATGTTTTCAGATCTGAAGTGGAGCTTGATTTTTTCCTCTCTCTCAAAGTTGAAATCTTTAAGTACTGCTTATTTGATGGTCTAGCAGGTTGTGCACAACTGTTAGGAATCCCATTTTCTCTGTATATTTTAATAATTTTCTGAACTCTGGTTTTGGAAACTCCTGTTTTTTCCTTTGGGTTTCCCCATTCTTACGCAAGTGGATTATCTTATATCTAACCTCCTAATTTTAGATGCACATGAGAAAGAAATCTGCAAGGCAGCTAAAGTGTGTTTGAGTTGTTGCTTGTCTGAATGTCAGTGTTGGTTTGAAGAGGAACATAATGTCAGTGACTCCTTTGGGAGCAGCTTTTGTTGGGAGGACACAGCTGTAACTGGTTGGTTTTAAGATTGGAAGGATTAAGGAGTTAAAGTAGCAGTAGAGTGGACAAAAGTAGAGAGTGGACAAATTTAACATTGACAGATTTGATATTATATTTAGTATTGGAGGATTCAGTGTAATTTTTTGTTAAATATGTTTCCTGTTTTTCCTTTTAAAACTGAAAAATAAATAACTGGATGTAATGGCCATTTAAACTGAAAATTAAATAAATGAAAAGGTGGTCTCTGACCTTTGTGCACCTTGTAGTGTGCTTGTGACAAACAGTCTAGTCTAGAAATTGGTTTAATTTTGTTTAGCACCCACCTATGTACATGGATCTTTGTGGTAATGGTATAAATAGTAATTAGCAGTTGAAAGGCAGGCTTTAAAAGCTTTAGGTCACAAATACCAGAGTATGTAAAAGTAATTGTGTGCTCAGTGATGCTACTACTGCCTTTTTTCCATAGCATTTCAAGATGACATTTTGACATTGTAAGTGTTTATTCCCATGGTGTGTAAACATGCCTTGTTTCTGTAACTTGCATCCTGCGGACATAAATATTTTTGTTAAGTGTTTTCTTAGGACATCAATTGTGTGTATTTTCAGGGATAAACCATGGGCCAGTAATAGCAGGGGTGATCGGGGCACGCAAGCCACAGTACGACATCTGGGGGAACACGGTGAACGTCGCCAGCCGAATGGAGAGCACCGGAGAACTGGGCAAAATACAGGTAACCACCGTAGACTGCAGGCTTGCACCCTGCAGGATTACTACACACCCAGCTAGGCCTCACCGATACTCACTTGCGTGTGTATGCTTACATAGCCTAGCGGTTGCTTAAAAACTGTTACCCTGAATTTATCGAGTAGGCTGTGTCTGATTCCAGGTTAGATAATAACACAGCTCAGAAACACTGTCACATATGTGATATTTAAACGGTGAAAATGGTCCCTCCTGATGTACATGGAGCCACAGCGCTGCCACTAATAACAAATGACACGTCAAGTTATACCAAGTTGCGTCACTGGAATCAGTTGCCCTCTGTCTACATTCGACATTTCCCAAAATCTAATGCATGTGTGTGAATGATGTTAGAGCTTTGGTCATTAGCTGATGAATCAGACTAAGACCCATCCTAGTGCAGTGGTCCCCTAGGACTATAATTGGGGAACATTGGGTTACACATGCTCTTTCTGGATGTATACAGATGTCTTGGAGTCTGAAAAATGTAGTAAAAGGCCTGTGACAAAGTAAATTATGGTCTCATTTATGAACCATTGTGATAAACATCAATGAAGGAAAATGACTTAAATGGACAAACGATAATGCTGGCAGTGCTGAAACACAATCTCACGTTTCACTGTGCACGTTTCAAGTGCAGAGATATGACATGAAGAAATGTATCAAAGTAGATCACTTTGTAATGTGAGAGAACAGAATTGATTAACCCCGACTAGTTTTCCATTAGCTGCATTTTGTGTTTCGCAGGGCCTCTTACTTCATCATTCTAATTGACCTTTTTTTTTTTAAGCTGCACTGTGTAAGATTTTCCTTTGTTCAGGTTGAAAAAAAGCAGCATTACTGAGTCAGCAGGGAAAAAAACACTAAAATATAGCGTCTGTGGGCAGCCGCGAGTCACCTTGTAAAGCCTAAAATAATAATTTAGAAGTCAGAGGCCGATTCCCAGTAGTTTTTTGGACCACATAATATGCTTTAGGTATTAACACACAAACAGACTTAGAAGGAAGGTTTGGCTCTATGTTTAGATCTTGAACGCAAAATGAACATTATACTGATCAAGTTTTGACTGATTTCTCTTGGAATCATCACATTCCTCCGCTTAAGGAAGGGGCACGAAGCACAACCAGCTTTACAAAATGTTCTTCTGCACATTGTGTGCAATTGCACGTTACCACCAGAGAGGTCTTCAAATTAACTTCCATAGTGTAACTTTAAGTATAAATGTTTGAGTGATATTTGATGAAAAGGTTCCAACTTAAACATGTTCCTCTATGATGATCTACTGATACCTTGTGCATTATTTTTATATTTATATAATTATATTTATATTATTTAACAATGCATATTCTGAGTGTAAACTCTTGACATTCTGCTTTTCTCATTCAACTTTCTTAATGTATTTACTGTGTCAAACAAGTGAAACAGGGCATTTGTCAAAGTATTAAATCTGTCCCTTAAATGTTTCATAAGTAGACTGAACACCGTGCAGTAAACTAACAACTGTGCATGTCGTAGGTGACAGAAGAGACATCGGATGTCCTGCAGAAGCTGGGTTACTTGTGCGAGTGCCGTGGACTGATAAACGTGAAGGGAAAAGGGGAGCTCAAAACCTTTTTTGTGTGTACAGATTGCAACAAGCAGCAGGGCATGGCTCTCAGCTGAAGCTGCTGCCTCCAGTATTGACTCTACCACACCAGGAACAGATTACACGTGTTTTTTTGTTTGTTTGTTTTTAATGCTATTTCTTTTAGGATGTCAGTCTATTGACATGTTTCCAGATTCACTTGGAATGTGAGGTTTTTTTGTTTTGTTTTGTTTTTTGTAAAGGAATGTTGGACGATTAGGACAGATGCCTAAAAACTCTTTCAACCAAAAACCAGCTCAGAACACAAACATATGCTTTGAATGGTGGAGATTAAATTTTGCCACCTGATGCTGGAACAACAGAACAGTCTAGTGTTCACTGACTTTGAAATCATCTGCACTGTTCTGATCCTTGTTAACCAAGGACACGATTACCCATGCTCACAGAAGAGGACCTTTGAATATTTTGCTCGTAGTCATCATCCTTTTGGTTCAAGTCTGAGATTACTAGCAGATGATCTGACCTGCACACACGAACATGAAGAATGGTTTCCTTGCACATAATATGAAGCCTTTGGGAAAAATGGACTGAAATCCTTTTGTGAGGCTTTGGACAGATTTGCTGCTGAAGGACTGTTTCTAATATATGCGCCTTCTGTTTCTAGAAAACCTGTTCTCTGACTTGTTTTTGGACGTGTAAATCTAAGCAGTTAATGCTGTCTAGAAGTTCTTTTCTGTTTTCTCGTCTACCATGTCGTGATGGCGTTCTGCTTTTTGGGGTGGCGCTTCTACACCAGTGCCTCTCACTTAAGCTTCTCACTTTTATTGGTTGGCCTATAGCCTCTTTTGAGGGATAAAGTCATAAACAGGTATTTTATGCATCCCATTATTCAGTAATTTAAAGATAAAACTTGATACGGTCTTCTATGGCAAAACATGCTGCAGTACAATCAGTTCAAATTGCAAAAAAGAATGTGAATGATGTGGCTTGAGGACTTTTCTACTTACCTTCAAGCTTTTAAGAAGTATTTCTGAAATCGTTTTTGTATCTTGACTGCCACTGTGGCTCCTCCCATTTGATGGTGGGGTCAAGCTACTTGCTGCACTTGTTATTGGCTGCATCTGCCTGTCCGTCTAATCACTTTGTTGCCCTGGTTCTTGCTGTGCTGGAATCACTTGTTTAAAAATAGGGAACACTGATTTCTGGGTTCAATATACCTGTCTACAGGTAAAGCAGACACAGCGAAAATAACATGGGACTTGTGTTGTATCTGTACTGTACCTTTACTGAACTGAAACAGCCTGACGTTTTCTGTCTCTGTTTAGTGAGCTGCCTTTTCTGTTGCCTGTTTGGAGTATCTACAAGGAAATTGTTTAACTTTCAAGTTGCTGTACAGTATAAGAATGGAATAAATAATTTTACACGTTTCAGCGGTTACAGACTTGCTGTTGTAATAAACAGGTACGCCTTTCTTTTAAATCAACAGCGTTGCCTCATATGAGTGCATGTAACAAGCATGGAATACTCAACAGTAACTGTTTGAAGCTCCATGGTTTAATGCTGATGCTTAAGGCAGCATTTTCTCAGATTGTTTTTTAATTAGCAGCTAATTGACCTCAGACTGAGGACATCACTATATCTTCGCAAAGCCCAACTAAAGTTTTCAAAACATTGACCAGTATAAGCTTGGGGGATGAGATATTAGAGTGCCTGGAGATAGACAAACAGTTGCTGTGGCATGTGTTTCACAAGAATGTCCCTTACTGTACAGCTGATGACTTTTGAGTCCATGCTTTTTATAAAGTGTAAAATTTTAAATATGATTATCCTGATGCAGAACCCCATTTTCTATATAAACTGACAATATAGCTGGCAATGAACATGATCAATTACAGAAAAAAACATTTTATTAAGTGAAATGTATACAAACATGAAACAAATAGAGCACCATTGGTACAGAGCAGGGTTTGGGTTGAATGGGTTCGCTAGACTGCGATGGCTGGGACATCGTCGGAGCCCATACATATTACGTCCATGTCTGCTGTGGACAGAGAAAATGTGATGTGCACAATGCTTAGAAACACACTGAACAAAAAGGTACATTCACTACAAATTCACCTAACCCAGGGGTCACAACTCAAATGTTAAGAAGAGCAATTTTGTCCTTCAAAAATCAAACCACCTTGGGAGCCACAGCATTTTATGTCTATTTTGCCATCTTGGCTGTAAATATGTCTTAGTATGTGCTACTAGTATAGGCTTAAAAAAAATAAATAAATAAAATACGCAGACTTGCTTTGCTCTGCTTTAAGCTTTAGTTCAGCTATAGCTGCTGTCTGATGTAAAAAATATTTTTTTCAGGCATATCGTATTTAATTTTATTTTAGCTCTTTTTTATGGTTAGAAAGAAGTGTGTTCATTTCTGCAGTCTTATGCGAACATTTCTTGGGGACTGCATGTTAACTTGTATGTTATCTGTAGATTTTGTGGATGGTTTACCTGTAGTCAGGTGTGAGAGTGTCTCCTCTGGTTGAGTAGGCAGTGAGATGCCCATTGCCTTCCTAATACCATACACAGTGCTCACATCACCTGGAGTCACCTGACTAGTCAGGTGGGCCAAGTTCCCGGTCACCTTCTCCGCTACACATGGAAACAAGACAATTTCAGCAAATGCACTGATTAAGTAAGTGTAAACTTTTTCCATAGCTGTAAACCAGAAACAGTAAGCAAACTTTCACTCAAAGTTGTAAACAAGATAATATAATGACACTATATTAATTACAACTGGAAAAAGAAACTGGAGCTAACCAAGATATTTACAAGAGCTGTAGAAAAATTAGCCTGTTTTAACCCTGTTTACATGCACTGGACATTGTCTAATATTGTCTATAAACTCCCCCTTTTCTCACCTAAGTTTCTTTTGGTTTGCAGGAAGTGCCATAGAACATTAAAAAATGTTTGTCTTCACATGTCCAAATCTACTGCAAACTGTTCAGCCAGTATTGGTCTGGATTTATGTCAACTATGTCAAATGGATCACATCTTAAGAGTAGCAATCTTGAATATCAAACCACTGGTGTGCATGTAGACATCATTAATGACTGTGTACCTAGCTGTAGCTCTTTAGCAGTAGGGGCGAGCAGGCAGATGATGTTTGGAGGCTGTTTGGCGCTTAGTCTCTCTCTCTGAGCTTCCTGCAGGTCCTTCAGAAGCACAGTGGTCTCATCCAGCTTCTTCTGGAACTGTTCCGCTTCTGAGACAAACAGACACAGAGCAAAGGAGAAAGACACAGACAAGTGTACTTCAGTCTCTGTACAAGTCTCTCTCCAACAGTGAAGTCATGCAGCTGTACTCTATTGACACACAAAATATTACACACTCTGCAGCTCTAAGCTGAACCACAAAGAGCTTCAAAGGAAAGACTGGAAAAATGATGTGTAAAGTGTGTTTTAACAAGTGTGTGCTCTCACCCTCGGAGTCGAAGCTCTCAGGCAGGAGGTCGAGACCCAGACCCAAACTCATGACTGAACTCAGAGCAGTCATGTTGTTCCCACTGCTGGACTCTGATCCAACCACCTACAGGGAGAGAAGAAGTTTGAGGGCATTTTAAAAAAGCTAATAATATAATAGTCAAAATAGAAAGAAATTACACCACAAAACTGCCATTTTAAAAAGTTTGTGACATACTGTGACTGTAAAGGAATAGTTCAGCAGGAAACAAACAGTTTTACCCCCATCAGTCATGACATGGTTGGAGCCCAAATGTTGCTTTAGTTTAGAACTGGAGCAGCAAGGCTAACATTGCTAACACAAGAACTCAATAGTCACCCAAACAGCCCAAAATGTGGACTCAAACATGTAACTGGCTCATCAACTACAACTTGGGTAACTGGGTAAATGTGATTTTTAGCCTTTAATATATTGGTAGTGTTTAAATGGCTCAGCAATTGCCAAAGTATCTACATGAAGAGCTGTCCACCTAAATGGCAACTCAACCTGTGTGTGGAATGCATACCGCAAAGTAAAACCCTTTCATCATTCTCATTCACACATACATCCACATTTATGCAACCTTTCCATCTAATAGTAACTGTTGAACCTTCAAAATACAACAATATGCCCTGCCAGACTACTTTTATAGTGTGCACTAGTTAGTAACAGATATACAAAGAAATTACTCAAGGAAAATGAACAGCAGAGTCAACAGACTGTACTGTATTGTTTAAAGTGTTGTAACATGTCCCACCCTTGATTGCAGGTGCTTTTATTACTTGATTACGTCAACAGAGGCACGTGGAGGGTCATATTGGCTGTAGTACACTATAATGGTCAAATCATCTGTTCACATTCTAAAAAGGCATCTGGGGTGGAATCTACAAATGACATGATACTGAATTTATTTTGCTCTGTTTTAGGACCATGCATGCTCAGAAGTGCTCATGGCTGCTGCTCTGTCTGGTGCAGAGGGTGTGAGAGATGGTAAAGTAAATGTTCTTTCCATGTGCGTATGCATGAGAGAGGGTGGACTGGCTTTGTTGACACAGCTGCTTTGGAGCAGAGTGAGAGGGAGACGCCAGTCTAAAACCTGGGACTGGTTCTCCATAGCTTTTGGGGAAGTTAGTTCACTCCTGCAATCACGGTCACGAATGTGTTCAAGCTCTACAGTCCATTGCCCATGTATTTAAGAAAAAAAGTCAATGTTTCATTGAGCATGACACAAATTGCATAATTTTCAGTAAGGGATGCACGAATCGTCAATTTTTATGGCCAATTCTGATTCCTTATAGCCAACTGGGCCAGTGGCTGTTTTTTTTTTTTTCTGGTTGATTTTTATTAGGTTTTTCTTTTTAACCTGAAGCTCACACTGTGTGGGCTTAATTAATACATGAAACACATTATCAGAACTTTCTATTAGCAAAAAAACAACATTTTTGCTCTTTAATGGGCCAAAGTGCCTATTCAATCAGTGGTCTATTTCAGTAACATGAATCAAATAAAGTGCTACATGAAAAGTAAGACACAACTGGTTATTTAGCACAATGACTCATGCATAATTATGCTACGACATTTTGGTACAGGTTTAACAGCAGCTTTTAAATATCTGCCTCACATTATTCACATCATAAAATTACAATACAGATCAGCCAAAGTAAAAATATATTGGCCAATTGTGTGGTGGGAGCAAAAATCATGCATCTCCACTTTTAGTCCGCTTCATTTTCTCATTATGCTGTGCGCTCGCCGGCTAATTTCAGCAATAACCAGCTACAAGGAACAAGACCACAGCTGCAATACATACAACAGCTTTGTCACTGACCCATTAGACCCATAGAGAGCACATATATTGTGTAGTGTTATAGAATTGATATGAATTTCTTTCTACATTACCTCAACATCTTCAGCTTTGTCTGACTTCTCTGTTGGCTCCTCCACCTCCTGGGCATTCTAACAGAAACAGATATGGTCCAATGATTATTCTTATTCTGTCAGTTTATGTGAGAAGACTGATTCTAGAACGGTATACATGTGCTAATGCTTAGTACATGGAGCCTTCAGCACGCACTTATTCATTAAACATATACACGTTATATCTCAGAATAGGTGCTGATTTGAGAAGTTTTTTAAAGTAAGATCAAATAGCTCATCTAATATTGTGAGGCATTTTATAAATGCTGCCTCACTGCTAATAAGCTTTAAGTTGTTCACTCTGTGGAAAAAGCTACCCTCTGTCCATACCCACACACATTCACTAGAATATGAAAAGCAAAACTTGATCCTGAGCCCCAGCACTCTGAGGTCTTTCAACAAGCCAGGTTTTATCTTGATGGAATAAACTAGCTGTCCTTCCATGTAATGGACAATAATAACAAACATCAATTTAAAAAAAAAAAAGTTGGGACAGTGTATGAAATGCTAACAAAAACAGAAAGCAGTGGTAAGCAAATTCTGCTTGACCTGTATTAAACTGAATACAGTACAAAAACACAGTATTTGATGTTGTACCTTCATGAACACTGTTTTTTTGTAAATATACACTCATTCCAAATTTGATGTTTACCACTGTGTTACTTCATTTTTCCTTTTAAAAACACTTTTGTTCAGGGACAGAAGCCATCAACTGATCAGTTTTTTGCAAAATCTTCAGCTGCGCAACCATACAGGGCCTTTGTCAGAGCATATATTGCTTCATAATGGGTATGTACACCTATCAGGCATAACATTATGATCACCTCCTTGTTTCTACGCTCACTGTCCATTTTATCAGCTCCACTTACTATATAGGTGCACTTTGTGGTTCTACAATTACCGACCGTAGTTCATCAGAAGTCCACCAACCAAAAATATCCAGCCAACAGCGTCCTGTGGGCAGCGTCCTATGACCACTGATGAAGGACTAGAGGATGACCAACACAAACTGTGCAGCAGCAGATGAGCTATCGTGACTTTACATCTACAAGGTGGACTGTCAAGGTAGGAGTGTCTAAAAGAGTGGACAGTGAGTGGACACAGTGTTTAAAAACTCCAGCAGCACTGCTGTGTCTGATCCACTCAGACCAGCACAACACACACTAACACACCACCACCACGTCAGTGTTACTGCAGTGCTGAGAATGATCCACCACCAAAATAGTACCTGCTCTGTGAGGGTCCATGTGGGTCCTGACTATTAAGGAACAGGTTGAAAGGGTAAACAAAGTATGTAGAGAAACAGATGGACTACAGTCTGTAATTGTAGAACTACAAAGTGCACCTATATAGTAAGTGGAGCTGATAAAATGAACAATGAGCGCAGAAACAAGGAGGTGGTCATAACGTTATGCCTGATCGGTGTATCTTTCAGCATTAATGGTGCTTTCGCAGATTTGCAATTTTTTGGCAACAGGGCGAGTCTCAACACATTCTTAATCATAACGGATTAATCCTCCTTTTAGAAGCATGACTGCATCACCAGTTACATTTTTTTTGTTTGTTTATAACATTTCACAATGTTCCTAGACTTAAATTGCCCATGTCCCAATGTTTTGGGAACGTGTTGCACAAATCAATTTCAGAAAAAAAGCAAAGAATTTAATAAGGTAAAACACTAAATATCTTGTACTGCCTTTGTTTAAATGGAAATAAAAGCAGTTTATGTTTGCATTTCACATACTTTAATAACTTTTTTTGGATTGAGTAAATAAATAAATAAAACTGGGAATTCACAAAACTCTTACAGTCTCATTCTCCTTCAGCTGCTTGGAGTGTTCTCCATTGGTCAGTGCATCCAAAATATTATCAGCCAGTCGGCTCATATGCTCTTCTGACTTAGCCAGGAAATCTGCAATAGTACTGCAGAACACAAACACACACACACACACACAGCACAGAAGCAATATTTTTCAAGGTGAGTGTGAAGTGATGACTGTATGAATAGAGGCATTGATTGAGTGGGGGTTGGGCCTCCAGTCTGCTTTAGAGAGACACATCAGACTGAAGACAGCTGTAGGTTTAAAGGATGTCTTAATACTAATAACACATCAAAAAATGTCCCTCTCACTTCTAACAACCTCCGCCTGCTTCAGAATGGCTGGAAGTAATGTATATTGAAAGCTGTACAGATCTACATATTAATCCATATTTTTTCCATCATTTTTCCCCATGATGCCAATATTAAACCCTTTAGCATTGATTGATACCGATCTAATATTAGCTTTAAAAAGAGCTATTTTTAATGAAAGCACTTCACTTAAGATGATCATCCCAAAGAAGGCTTAATACTCAAACAACTACAGACTAGTACCCCACCAAAAGAAATATACAGCTAACATCACATCAAATGATGTAAGGGTGTGCTATTTCAACCAAGATATCTTACAATATTTGATTGGATTCATTCTCTCCCCAACGCCCCGACCACGCCAGACCTGATCCAGCATTCTATACTGATATTGATCCAAACCTAATACCTGAACAGATCAGTGGCATCTTTAATACTAATTTCACCAACATTTCTTTATGAATGAGATCCAAAAAAACACAGTGATCTCCTCTCAGAAATACCTTTCAGAGCCCTGGAGGCTGCACTCCTCTCCGTAGAAAGAGTAGACGAGATCCGAATCCTCTTTACTGATGTTGGCAAAGCTGGAGTCGTATGTAGGAGCGTACGAGCTAAAAGGCCCATAGTTCATATACGTCACTGAAAGAAAAGAAAGAAAGTGGGGAAAAAAAGAAGACACCCTGAAAAACGTTACACAAGGTTGTACATATAGGTTTCTCTCACTCACACAAACAACAAAACAAGGCATTTCACAATCTCTAATATTCCAAAGATGGAAGCACATTTACAGAGTATCAAAAATGTGCATGAAAAAATGAACAGATAAACAAGAATTTTTAGTGTTTAAAAGGTGACCATGCATGTTTCTGAACACTATTTTGTAGTTTTTAAACTGGCTCCTGGAATGCTGCGAAGGGCTATGATGGTTTATTTAATATTGATAAAAATACTTTAGAATGCTGCATTTTAAACTAACAATAAGCAAAAACTGTTGCTGTCTAATCACGAACTGAAGTGCATGTGTGAATATACTGTAATTACTGGGACAGTATGCAAAATGCTAATAAAAAAGAAAGTGATGTTTTAGATGTGTTGTAAAATTTTCAAAACATTCCTAGTCTTAAAAGCCCCTGTCCCAACTTTTTTGGAACTTGTTGCAGGCATCAGTTTCAGAATGAACGTGTATTTAAAATAAGAATTAAAATAAATAAATAAATAAATATCACAGAAAAAGTTGATAAGGTAAAACATCACATATCTGGTCTTTGTACGGTTTCATTCACTACTTTTTTTTTTTTGGTGTGGTGGGGGGGGGTTGTGGTGGGGGATTAGGGTTTTTTTTATATATAAAAAGATGCAAGCCTGATGCAAAAGGAAAATGCAGGGTTTTCTCTCCTTAAAAAGCTTTCATTTCACGTGGCTCTATAACGTAGACATCAATTATAAGCCAAAGCATGAGAACCACATGTTCAAGGCCTGCGGGCCACAGCACATACACATACAATACCTTCTTTAGACATTTCACAGAATCCTACACATATGAAATAAAGACATGCAAAACTTTGGGCACCTCTGGTCAAAATTTCTGTTACTGTGGATCATTAAGTGAGCAGAAGATGAACTGATTTTCAAATGGCATGAAGTTAAAAATGAAATATTCTTTTCAAAATTTAAAATAAAATTAGTGTTAAAAACTAGTTTGGGCATCCCAAGAGACTCTCAGATAACTTTTCCCAAGATCTCAGACCTTTATTAGCTTGTTAAGGCTATGGCTTGTTCACAATCATTAGGAAAGGACAGGTGATATATAAATACCCTGACTCCTCAAGCTCCCAGCAATATCAGCAGCAGCCCACAAAGCAGGAGAATGCTAGAAGAAGACAGCAAAGTGTTTTCAGGTCGCCATTTCCTCAGTTCGTAATGTAATTAAGAAATGGCAGTTAACAGGAGCGGCAGAGGTCACACTGAGGTCTGGAAGACCAAGAAAACTTTCAGAGAGAACTGATTGTAGGTCTGCTAGAAAGGCAAATCAAAACCCGTTTGACTTGAATATTTAGCAGACTCTGGAGTGGTGGTGCACAGTTACTATATACTGTGCAGAGACACAAATATGACCTTCATGGAAGAGTCATCAGAAGAAAACTTTTCTTGCATCCTTGCCACAAAATTCAGACGTTTGCACAGGAACATCTAAACAAGTCTGATGCATTTGGGAAACAAGACTGGTGGTGGACTGATGAAGTTAACATTGACATTTTTTGGAAGATATGTCTGGAGAAAAAAAGGGTGCTTCATAAGAACACCTCTCCAACTGTTATGCATGAGTGTGAATCAATCATGCTTTGGGCTTGTGTTGCAGCCAGTGGCACGGGAAACATTTTACTGCTAGAGGGAAGAATGGATTTAATTAAATACCAGCAAATTCTCTAAGCAAACAACACACCGTCTGTAAAAAAGCTAAAGATGTAAAGATGATGTCGTCTACAACAGGATAATGATCCTAAACACACCTCAAAATCCACAATGGGCTACTTGAAGAGGCGCAAGCTGGTTCTGACATGGCCTTCACAGCCCTCGATCTAAACATCATTGGACAGACCTCCAAAAAGCAGTGCATGTAAGACGGCACGTAAGAAGAATCTACCACAACTAGAAGCCTTTTGCAAGAATGAATGGGCAAAAATCCCCCAAACAAGAACTATCATCAGAAAACTGTAAGAAAAACATATGTTAGACTACCAATAGTGTCAAACATACACGGAATATTACATATTAGAATATCTGCCAGAAGAGTTCAACTGCAACTTCCAGGAACACATACAGAGTTTGTTACCAAATTACATAACACAAATCTATAAAAATAAATAGGGGGTTTTATGACTAGAACTGTTGTATAACATCACAGCTCAGCCAGGATTGTTTTGAACTTAACTCGGTAATAATGTAACAATTGAAACAGGAGCTTCAGTGGTTAAAACAATTGAGCACTTTATTGTTCAGCGAATCATCTCCAAGTGATAAGCATACACAAGGGTTGATCTCCTTCCCTCTTTGAAACCAATTCTTCACTTCAAATCCAGAATGCAGCCCTATTCTCACTGATTCATCAGCTCTGGCAGAGCCAGGCATTTTCCAGAATGCAGTTTAACGTTCCACGTGCTGATTATTTCAACAGGGTCTACTGTGTCCTCCCAAATGATCCTGTCTAAATGATTCAAATCCTGGCTATTGTTCACAGATCATGAATCCAGGGAAAGACAAACACCCTTTTTCCATGCAATAACAATCCATTTTTCTGTTCTCTGTACTGCCATTCCTAGCATGATTTAATGACCATATGGACCCTGAAGACCTGTTCCAGCATTCACAGCCGAATAAGTGATGCTGACTGGAGACCCACTGTGCTGTACTACGGCCCTGGAAGTAAAACTCAGCATTCAGTTAAATGAGTGTTTTGGTTGCCAAAGCATTTTTTTGTGCTTCTCCAGTGACATTTTGTCTCACTAAGTGACACATAAATAGATTCAGGTCAATCTCAGATCCAGTGTACAATGGATGTAATGTAATATGTGTAATTATTAGGGGCCAACCAACATAAAAAGATACCATTATTGATGTTAAGAAGCTAGAAATGCAGAAAACATGGGCTGATATAATTTAGTATGGTTAAAAAAAAATAAATAAACAGACTTCAGAGGTAAACACTGCCAACTGCCCAGTCCCCTGGCCACAGCATTTCACACTTTGGCCACTACAAGTGCAGAGCTTGTGACCCCAAAAGCCTTCATTTTATCCATTCTTTTTCTTTCTTTTTAATAAATTTGTCAGACAAATCAGAACTAATCAGACAAATCAGATTTTGCTGATATTTGTAAACACTGTAACCACAATTTGTAACCACTTGTTGCAATTTGTAACCACTGGGATAGCCAGTGAGACTGTGTGGTGACCGTCATGGTCCTTCCTGTTGAGCTGGCATGCCTGGCATCACAGCTGCTATTCTATTGGCTAAAGTTTCATCTAACATCACTATAAACAAGGCCTTAAGTAAAATAAGGTCTTAGATAAAAAATAAGGTGTTAAAAACTGCTGTTACACCAAGAGCAGCTAAACAGTTCCTAATAACATAATGCGAATCTGATGACGGCAGGGGGACCCAGCTCGTCAAGGAGGACCACCATGCTCACCACACAGCAATGTCCTTATTAATGCAAAGGATTTAATAGACATCTATTTTCATAAATTTAACAGTTGACTTGTTTTTGATATTGAAGCATGTTTGTTAATTATAAATACAATGCATATATGACAAACATGTTTCTATTATTGCGGCAGCAAGTTCTTAATTTTGGACTCACTGGCAAGCCCAAAATTTTATAACTGTCTACTGAGACTAATGGTTTTAGTTAAGAGTGCTTTACTGACTGATATGAATTGTTAAGTAGGCCAGTTTTCAATAATCAAATCTCAAATGCAATATGGTCTAATGTTTACATAATATAACATATAGCAGCACATTCCATCTAACTATCACCTGATGTCACTGCTGTGATGGATCTTTCACTTCACCACACATCGGAAAGTTCTCGATGCATCATGTTTCACCAAATTTACATAACATTATCAACGTTACTGATCTTCTATTACAATTTTCAGTAGAGAACTTCAGTATCAGTATCAGTCCCAGAGAGGTACTGGCATTGCACTTGCAGTTCTATTATTAATTAGGATGACAGCCATCTTTCAATAGGCAGGGAGATTTAATGTGAAAACAAAGGAGGCTAAACAAATGAGTATAATGGGCAGAATCCTGAAACATGAACCCTAGCCTGCAACACTACCTACTGACAAATGATTAATGGGTCCATTTTTTGACTATGACCCAGGGATATCTAGAATGTCACATTTGCACATCTCAGGAAGCATACATCTTGTTAGAGTAACACCCTTACCCTTCCCCTTACACAAAAAACACTCAAAATCCCCAGTTTCACTCCTTCGGTGAAGAGAGGTAAGTTCCTTAAAGTGTAAGAGAAAAAAAGCGAGAGCAACAAGAACTGCTAAGTTATGAAAGCTACAAGCAGACAAAAATATATAAACAATGGTTTCAGACAGTGTAGGTCTAACTGTAAAGCAACCTTGAAGGTGTCTCTCTCATCTACACACACAAACACTAATCAACTCTGCAGTTCTCTCGTCCTGTGGATAAACATAAAAGAACAGGGCGTCTACTCTGCCCATTCTGTCTGAGACACTGTAGAATCCTGATAGCGGATAATAAAGATGGCATTACCTAGTGATCAGTAGTGTTTAGGGCTGCAGCAAATATTCAATAAAATCTGAAAAATCTGATAATTAAAATATTAGAAAATGGAAAAGCACTTCGAATAACTGGGAGTGTTAGTTTTCAATGAAAGCACACACTGTAGTGCATTGATTCCGAAAGGAAAGTTTTGATTATGGAACTAAATGCTGGCGAGTCACCAGTAGCAGCTCATCTAAAGAGATGGAAGATAATCTGCCTGCATGTCATGCAAAACACTTATGATTGGCCTTTTTCCCTCCCAAGTCAGTCAAACACTTTTTCTGTAAAAGTCGCAGTGATATCTTGGCAGTAGTCAGTAGTGTCATCAAAAATATCGATGTATATCTATTCTGAAATTTTGAAATGGTACTAATTCATCAATTAATTCTATCCATATCAGCCATGCTTTTCTGTTCACTCTTTCATTTGGCACAAAGTCTACCATACATATATAACAATATGGAGCTGCTGCCCCGCCTAGTCTCACGGTGCAGCATGTTCTGCTGAACTGGCAACTGCAGCCCGTTCATGAGCACTGTTGATCAACAAAGAAGCAGCAGGAGTGCTGTCTAGACATACTTTGGCTTCATGGCAAATGAGGATGGCAAGCCAAAGGACATGAGCAAGCCAATATGCAAACAGTGCTACAGAACAGTACAAACTAATGGTGCTAACACATCCAAACTGGCAAAACAACTGAAAGACCCTCTGACCTGTACAAAGTGTTTCAAGAAGCTGGTGAAAGTTACGCTAAGCAAAGGGTTCAATAATGGCCTCTGAATTTATCTGTTTCAACAACTGAACACACCTGGTGTTTATTAAAAAAGGAAGCTTTAGGTTATTATGGTTGTTGATAGGTATAGTTGCATTGCTATTTTTTCTTCTTGTGTTGCTCCAACCACATTGCTTGTGCGAAAATGAGCCTCATCCTTTCTTATATGTTTGGTTGTGTTAAAAAATTTACACAACTTCTTTGGTTTTGAATCCCTCCAAACAGCATTTTATGTTACCTCTAATGACAGTCCTTTATCAATAATGTTTTCCCTTAACCTTATAGTACTCAGATTTTAACAACAACAACAGTAATAATGACTATGAATGCTGACATGATTAAATGAGAGATAAATAAAGCAATTTTTTACTTAATAATTAAAGTGACATATCTTGAGCTTACTTATGAGTGCAGAATACTCAAAAATATTCAATAGTTGCAGCTCTATTGGACTAGCATTTGAGAAAAAAAAAAAAAATAGATCTTATCCTGTCCTGTAACACGCTGTTATTGATATGATTTATATTTCTTTCTGTGAAGTTCTTAAACATTTGAACAGTTTGAGCATGTTCACCAATTCTTCACTTAAAAATATTTCATTTTAAAATTTAGTAGTAGAAAACATCAGATCAGTATCGGCCAGTAGTTGGGTTTTTCAGTCCAGGTATCAGAAATTTAATGCGGTATCGTACAGTCTCTAGTGAATCAACAGGACTCAAATGAGTGTGTAGTATGTGTATTACCTGGAGTGACTCTGTTCCTCTTATCTTCTTTAAAGCCCTGCAAGGTATTTACGCCTGTCTGCAGCCTGCCGCCCATCATCCCCAGCTTCACCGGACAGTACCCAGGATCTGATAACCACACATATCAAACATAATAGGCTTAGCTTTTAGAGGATGAGACAAAGTAAAAATAACAAAATTACTACAACATGCCAGGCCTTTGAGTTTAATTAAATAAGAGCTACAGCTTAATCTTTAGAAGTTGCAGTTTCCATCTCTGATAGAAAAAGCATGGTGTAATTCCATATATATATATATATATATATATATATATATATATATATATATATATATATATATATATATATATATATATATATATATACATACACAAGTGATGCCACATTTTTGTTTGTAAGTCACAGAGGAGCTATTTTATTATAAACTGAATTTGCTAAAAAAAAAAAAAGTATTTTGAGAACAGTCTTGTTTCACAGCAACAAGAAAAATCACACATTCTTGCCACATTCTTTTCATTGTTTGACATCAAAACTGGAAAAAATTTTGGACCTGCAGACTCAAAGGTGGCAGTGTAGAATATAAATTGAATGCAAATGTAAACTCACTATGTAATTAAATTTTGCAATTTCATTTGAACAATATACTAAAACAAAAGTAATAACCTGATGTCTAAGGGCTGAACACTACCTTGCCTTGATGATTAACACTAATTTAATTGCACCAATTCCGATCCTGGTATAATTATGTTTAAGAGGGCCTACCTCCAACACTCAGGTCAGCAGGGTTCAAGAAGCCCAGAGTGGTTGTGCCATCAGACTTTCTCCTCTCAAAATCAAGCTGGCAGAAAACAAAATAACCTTAGCACCTTCAAGCATCTCTCAACATATAGGCAGGTATGCTGCACCCATCAAATGTACCAGGACAGTGAATTAACAATGAAAATACCTGTAATTATTATTTGTTGATGAACACAATCAATTAATGAACATTTGTGACGGGGCACCAAGAGCTTTGTGATGCACAACTTAAAGATACCACAGAAAATAACTCTTGCCCTTTAAGCGGTAGGAATGCGGAGTACTGGCAAGGCGTACTGGTGAGGCCAGTAATATCTTACCTCGCACTGTAGGCTCCGGTTGGACAGTTTACCTCCAGACTCTGCTATGATCTTTTTAATCTCCTCTAGATCCTTCTCTGCCTGGTTTACACCCTTCTGAGCATCATCTTTAGAGTCCTTACTGAAGACAGGAGGGCATATAAAAGCTATTAGAAAATGGACACCACACATTATCATCTGGTTTCTGAAATCCTACAGGCACAAAAGTTTAAGCCAAGTTACATAACAAAGTCATTTCTCTTAAGAACAAAAAAATCTAATGAAATTTTTTCAAAAGTTAAGAAAACAGTAAAATGCATAGAACAAAGTTAAAAAGCAGTACTTGGTAACATGACACAATCAGCAAATTACTGGTAATTGTATATTAATGCAACAATATTTGACTGTGGTTTTCTTAAATGCCATTACCCCCACTGTTTTTTTTCCCCATACTGCAAGGTTTCAGCCTGCCCCACCCTGCAGAGGCAGCTCCTTCAAATTCCCAGACATGTATTTAACCATCAAGTGTAAAGCGTGTGTTTCGAGTGACTGCAGCACGTGGTACATGAAGCGTGGGTAGCACGAGCGCCATAGATGGCATACAAGTCTCAACATGATTTTACACATTCTTCTCCTAAAGATGTTCCCAGAAAGAGAGAGAGGGAGAGAGAGAGAGAAAGAGAGAGAGGGACAGATAGAGAGGGAGAGAGACAGACACAGAGAGAGACAGAGAGAGTCTGTGAGAGAGGGACAGAGAGCAGAACCTCATAAGAGCTCTTTTACTTCTAGGTTAAAACTATGTAAATATACAATTTGGGCAGAGGACAGTAATTGAAGATCTGTCAAGACAAGTGCCCTTTAAGACAAGTGAGGCTACAGCAAGCTGAAAGTAAAAGGTAATTCTGAAGTGCTGCCCACAAGTGATGGTTAGATGGGCTAAAAGCAGGTTTTTCTAAGCCTCTTGCAATTTATTTATGCTGACCACAATCACTGTCCACAGTTCTTAAATTTCACAACCATAAGGATTACGTTGCAACTAATAGAATTTCTTTAGGTACGAAGTTTGCTTCTTTATTTTTGCACCGGGGCTTCGAGGGTAATGTAGCTAACAAATAATAACAGCATAAACCCACCACTCAGCATAGTGCAAACTGCATGCCTAAATCACATTTGTCTCAAAGCACGTTGAGGTGGTAAGTAATCTTAAATAAACTCGCTGGCTAAACAGACCAAGTTTCCCTGACTCATATTAAGCCTAGAATAAAAAGAAATTCCAATGACGATTCACCATTGTAGCCACAAGTTCGAACAAGACTAGGCTTAATCTAATTCTGGGAAACTGGCCCTACACATTTTTAGCTGTTATAAACTTTTGTCCATGTCATTTCAATGAGCAATGTGTTCCTTGTCCAGGATGCACCTAATCCATGAGGAGTAGGATGGTTACAGTGGTCAAAAATGAACACTATTACATTATCTTACTTATTTGTACGACTATTAATCATCAGACAGTATTTCATGATTGTGACAAGCCAGAGTTGTTCTCTTCTTTTTGGCAAGCTAAGGCCTTTGTGCTGTTCCTGGAACAGATATCAAAGGTATCAGGACTGTACCTGGGTGTGTCCCTACTCGCCACCCTGGGTGACTGAGAGTTGTCACTGGTATCCATTGGTGACGACCCGTCTTTGGCGGGGTCACTTGATGACCCTTCTTCCTCCCCATCTTCCACTGTCCTGCTGTTTGGTGTTTTCAAGTCTGCCATAAACTCAATACTCTGCTTCAGGCTCTGAAGCCTTTCCTGTACGTACACACACACACACACACACACACACACACATTGCAAGGGTAAACTTATGTAAAACATTACATCTCCAATTATATTAAGGGTAAATCCTCAACACAATACTCAGGTTCCCTCTAGTGTCTGTTTCACATCACTGCAACTAACCACTAAGAACATGCTAGAAGATTTCAGCAGTCTTCCATCATAACTCACCGTGCTCAAGATCTTCATGCCAGAGTGGAGGAGCTTCTTGGCAGCCTTGTAGTAAATTGTCTCTGGTTTGTTGTAAACCATAGCATTCTCACACATTATCTTGAAATCCAACTGTTCAAAAAGAACCACCAAGGTGAGAACAAACATGGCATGAGATTTTAATTCATCTGAAAGAAGTAGTTCAGCAAAAAAAAATCAAACTGATTCAATATTCCACTTAACCCAGATGTAGTCAATCAGCCAAGACATGTTTGGAGTCCACATTTTGCTTTTTTAATTAAAACTGAAGCTATGAGAATAATGTTGCTAACAAACACTATAACACAGAAGCCCACTAAATAACTTAAATCGTTTCTGTAAAAATACATGCACAAAACTTATTTCAACCCGCTTAAAGCACATCTATGTTTCAATAAGGTCAAACAGATTTGCTGATGGTGTTAAGAGCACAGTATGACTTACTGTGAACTATAAAAATGAACAAAATGGGCAGCAAGTTCAGACAACCCCAGGGCTGGTATTCACAAAGCAGGACTGATCTTGGATCAGATTCCTCCATATTTATGACAGACATCATCACAAATACTGACTCTAAATCAGCACTCCTCCTCCTGAGGTGGTTTGTGAATACAGACTTTGTTGTCTAAAGTGACTGCTCGCAGTGTTGTTCATTTTTATAGTTCACAGTAAGTCATATTGTGCCCTAAACCACATCGACTAGTCTGCATGACCTTAATGATAACCTCGATGCAGTTTGAGCAGGCAGAAAGAGGTTTTGGTGATGTGGGGATCAAGTAGGGATGTAAGATACCTTCAGTTCCTCCAGAGACTGGTAGCACTCCCTCTTCACCTTCTCCTTCATGGTGCTGAAATCCATGGGTCTCTTTATGATTAGAGAGTATCCAGGAGCGATGAGGTCAGTTACAGGGAAAGAGAAAAATGCACTGGGGTCTTTCCTGGAAGAGACCACACATGCCAGCACCAATGAATTTAACTCTAGAAACACAGAGTCTAACAAACACCATAACTTCTGATGCGTTTAATGTAACAATATTCATGCAGTCTACATTTATCAGCTTCATAACAGTCATTCTGTGATATGGGTTGAAAAGGATCACCAGTCTTGGGCATTCATTAACTATAAAGGGTGAAAAGTCCCGTTCAGGTTAATGTATCTTAATGTATCTGTTCACTGCATGACAGACATGCGAGACATCATGTATTCACCAAAAATTGCAAAAAAATAAATAAATAAATAATAATAATAATAAAAAATCTTTGGTGAAACCTCTGTAACTGCCGGATTAGCTGACTCAGGGCTTCCTGTAGTGGAGTCTGCTCCTTTTCTAGTTGAGAGGAAAAAAAAAATTACTTAACACATTTCCTTCTTTAAACTCTACAGTGATACGTCACTGAGAGTAACTTAGAATAAACAGTACCTTCCGTTTTAGCCAGCAAGGGCGTGAGAGGCTTATCCTGAGATACATCAGACCGGACTGGAGTTCTGCTCTGTTCATCCACATCCATGTCTGCCGAGTCCTGGCCTTTCCTCTTCTTTGTCATCTGCACTTACATATAGACAACAACTTGTCAAAAGAATGAGCCAGAAAATATGTAAGCTGAAATTCCTGCAACTCCTAATAAAAAAGAAGAAATCTCCACATTTATACAGGATAATGCCAACCCAAAATGTGTTCTCTTGCCTTTTTCTTTTTCTTGTCGTCCCCTGGGGAGAGTGGAGGGCTATCTCTATCCTTATCTTCTTTCTTTTTCTTCTTCTTTTTCTTGTCCTTGTGCTTATCGTGATCTATCTGCTCGTCATCAACGTGCTCGGTGGTCACTTCAGTACCCGCCACCTTCAAAACAAGCTTCAGTGGCCGCTCCACGTAGTCTGCGGGGAAACACAGGCATAGAAACAACCATGTAAGTAAAGTCTGTAGGACATAGAAAACACCTCACAGATGTCAAAATAGTCTAAACAGTCATAGTTCTGCAGTAGGTATTCAAACATTTTTTTGTGACACTAAGCCTCAATATGTCATGTAAATGTCCAGGTATCCATTTAGTTTTCTTTAGTCTCATCTTAAACAGCTAGAACTGATAAGGGTATAACAATTTCAATACAATACCAAATAATCAAAGTCAATAATTAAAACAGTGTCTCTAGAAATGTAAAACTGTATCGTCAATATAAACTTCTCTCTTATAAACTTCTCTCTTTTTCCTTCTATCATGGAAACCACCATCAATGATCAAAACAACATGTGTGTTTGTTTATTCATCAGTGATCAAGACCCACCACAAGACCACCACAGAGCAGGTATTATTTGGGTGGTGGATCATTCTCAGCACTGCAGTGACACTGACGTGGTGGTGGCGGCGTGTTACTGTGTGTTGCGCTGGTACGAGTGGATCAGACACAGCAGTGCTGCTGGAGTCTTTAAACACCTCAGTGTCACTGCTGGACTGAGAAGTTTTTTTTGCTGGAGTTTTTAAACACTGTGTTCACTTACTGTCCACTTTATTAGACACAGCTAACCTGTCAGTCCACCTTGTAGATGTAAAGTCACAGACAACAGCTCATCTGTTGCTGCACAGTTTGGTCAGTTATCCTATAGTCCTTGATCAGTGGTCACAGGACGCTGTTGGCTGGATATCTCTCGTTGATGGACTATTCTCAGTCCAGCTGTGACACTGAGGTGTTTAAAGACTCCAGCAGCACTGCCGTGTCTGATCCACTCTTACCAGCTCAACACACACTAACACGCCACCACCACGTCAGTGTCACTGCAGTGCTGAGAATGATCCGCCACCCAAATAATACCTGCTCTGTGGTGGTCCTGGCCACTGAAGACCAGGGTGAAAATGGGCTAACAACGTATGCAAAGAAACAGATGGACTACAGTCTGTAATTGTACAACTACAAAGGGCACCTATATGTTAAATGGAGCTAATAAAATGCACAATGAGGGTAGAAACAAGGAGGTGGTTTCAATGTTATGGCCGAGTCTGTGGATCAGAAGGATATACCTCAGTTCAAGGTTTGCCAAACATAGTGTGTCAATAGCCAATAGCAGGCATCATGCCGTTAGCGAAGGTAGGTGTTTATTATGTTCGATAATAAACATCATTAAAATAATGCAGAGTTCAATGTAAGAGTCCAGTTAGACCACCAGTCATACACAACTAACTACAACAGACCATATATGTTAAGCCAGGCCGGGAGCCTTGCTAAAACTCCTATTAAAACAGAACTGTGAGTCTACAGCTGATATACAACGGTCTTCTATATCGATATCGTCTAAATGTGGGATCTGTAAGCTTATTTTCAGTCTTGTTTTACACAACTAAGGTTAAGTTTGCACTGAGCATCAACATGTCAGCTCACAGCCCTTGGTAACTAGCTAGTTAGCTAGCTGGTACTAATAAAGCCGACATTACACTTGCGTTATCACACAGTTTATTATACAGTTAGTCTCCAGTTAGATTGTTGTGACATTAAAAATCTGAATATATCATCCTGAACGGCACAAGTGAGAAATCTACAACAGCCTGGTCTTAGTTCCTCTTTGGCTAGCAAGTCTGTCTGTAAAGCTAACGAACTGCCAGTAAGTTAAAAATCATTGAAACCCGGCTAAGTAAACGAAGTTAAATTTTCGAATCGAATTTTCGCGTTCCACCTTAAACGGTGCCTCAGTTTCATTCTGGCGACTCGGGCGTTAAGATAATTGCTGAGTTTAAGGTGAAACGCGAAAATTCGAACAAGCAGCTGGCAAATAAGCTGAAGTTAGCTAACTGCCCGAAACGAGGGCACAAAAATGTACGAAAACATGAAATATGTTAAACTGTGTCCTACCGTCGTACGCGTGTTTCTCTGATTTGTGTTTTTTGTGCTTTTTGCCCATAATTTATAGTAAAGCCTAGCAGTATTTACAGGTCAACGTGCTTGACCACTGTGTTCTTTGTTTGGGTTCGTAAAAGAGGGACGTTAGGTTTTGAGGCGCTGCTGGTTTTGAACAGCGCCTCCTGGCGGTAGGTGGTGTGTAGCGTTATTTCGACCGCTCAATGCGCAGAGGGTTTATTGACAAACCGTCTGTTAACATTTTCACTCAAATTTGTATTAAATACTTCTAGCTTCATATATTCTGAAAATACATACAGTTGAAAATACATACATCTACTCAGCCAGTTCGTATTTTCTCATAGACTTAACAGTCCGGTAAGGTGGAAACTGTGCTGTAGACTGACTCCAGGAGGCAGCATCGTCCTATTTTCTGAGCTGAGAACGCCGTCAGATCTACTTTAGAGCCTGAAACCAAGATATTGATATACACTTCTTTCGTATGTTTTACAGAACAGTAAAAATGTGTATTTTGCACAGTTTTATATTAGAACTTCTACTTCAGTGAGTGAAAATGATATTAAATAAAATAAATCTGACAAAAAATTCTAATTCTAACACAGATGTTACTAGTAAGAACTTAGTGAACAATTTTTTTTTTTACACGTAAAAATGTAGGTGTTCTATATAAAAAAGAAATTCCCAGTTTTTACATTTAAGAATTGAACTGCACATCCAGACTTGTAACAATCCACTATTCACTATTAAGAAATGAGTTCGAAGAGATAAAGGGGGAGTCCCCCAATTTTACTAAATTTCTCCATAATGCAATCATTAAGATGTTATCAGTCAGTCAGAGTAGTTTGTCTTAATGGTTTAATTATGTACGATTTTTTTGAAAAATCCCCTGTAAGAATTTTAAAAATTATAATTTCAGGATGTCAAACTTTTACTTTTGCTATTTCAGATGAAATTGTCTGATAAGAATTTAAAGCTAAAACAGCTTGATGCTCTTTTGGTAAAAAGTCATTCAGCCAACATTAATCGTTGGCTTATTTCACGGATCTTTCTTTGTTTTGATCTCTTATAAATTCATGTACATATTGTGCTATTTATCTTAATTCTGGTCTGAGGTGCGGCTCAGAGGGGGGTGGGTTCCTGTTTTCTACCTTGGTGTTTCTTCCTCTTTCTTTTAGGGAGTTTTTTCCCACCACCACTGTTCTCACTTGCACATTTAGGAATGTGGACCTAGATTTCTATATACCTGTTGTGAAAAAAAAAATCTATATAAATAACATTGAATGGAACTGAATTTTATTAAAACTGATAATCAAGTCCTTTAATTTCTGTATATTCCTCAGGCCACGTCTCACTTAAAGGGACACTCTGACAGTAGTCTTTAAAGTGAAATTTCCTGGTTTAAATTATTTCCCAATGGTCATGTGATGTGTTTGCGTAATGCATTCTGGATATTGCAGTGAAAGAACACTGATGGACAAAAACACAAAAATCATACAAAATAATGAACTTTGCCAAACCACTGAGGCTCATAGAGGCAATACTGCTTTACAGAATACTACATAACTTAGCAATTAATATATTAAATGCTAGTTTTAGGCCCTTTTAACCTTTACCGTTCTTTCATACATAGCTGTATATGTAGTATAGCTGCTGCAAAGCTGTTAATAAATTATTTTTAAAGCTGTACTATGTAAGAATTTTTGCTAACATCAAAAGAACGGATCCTCAGAAGACACATCCTCAAAAGTTTTGAGTTGAACACTGTTTTAACATGCTTGCAATCATCAGATTCATCTGCAAAGGGAAAGGAATGAGGAGCACAAACACTGTTGCAAAATGTTCTTGCACATTGCTTGCAATTACAAATCTCCACCAGAGAGGTCCCCAAATCCCTAAAACTTACATAGTGTAGATTTACGCTGCAAAAAATATCTTTGCAAGTGAAATCTTTGTCAATTCTAATCCAATCAATCTAATATTTCTCATTATGAGGTTGTTGTAAGAATGTTACAAGGTAATTTAACACTTTTAAACCTCTTTTAAGTCATGAAAGCATGTTGTTCAATTGGCAGGTAGTTACACTTCTTTCAAGCAGCATTTCTCAAAACTAGCAAAACTATCTGCATTACGTAATAAAACAAGTAAAATGATCTGCCAGTGGAATGAGACACTTTCACTAGATAAAATAAAAAAACGTAAAACAAATACAAATGTATAGAAATATGTAGAATAAGCTCATGACATTCTCACGAGCTTCTCATAATGTGAAATATTAGATATATTGACTACATTTGAGATGTTTTCACTTGCTAAGATATTACACTTTGCAGTGTAGGTTTTTGCTATAGAACATATCAATCTCTGAGAGAAGTTTTGACACTGTTTCCCTGATCTTTTTCAGTGGGTCCACACCAGGCCACAGATCACTTTCAACATGACTTTCATTTGTATTGTAAGGTCAGTCTCTCTCTCTCTCACTCTCGCTCTCTCTGTTCTTTTATCATGGATTGTACCATCAGAATGAGCTACAAAATGGAGCTGAGCTGTACAATGTACGGCTTTTATGAGACAAGGGTGGTACAAAGGCTTGGGCAAACTGTGTGAGCGTGTGCCATTACAGCCAGACCACGCTTTGGGTGAAACCTTTGGGCATTGTGCGGACTGTTAAGTGGCAGCTGTTTTATTCATGCCGGGCCGATAGTGCACATTCTTTGAAGCACATTCCAGGTTTTATGAAGCGTCCCGTTGAGGGATCCAGCGCTCATATTCCAAATTTTTTGGAATGAAAATAAACGCAGCCCATCCATCCGTCCACCATTCCATCCATTCCTCTGCCTGGATAGAGGGATGATTCTAATGGGTTGAGAGTGCTGTCAGATGGGTGATGTTGTGTCATCCCCAGGTCCCGCCCCCTCTCCCCCATCTGCTCCAAGAATTACTGTAAGATTCCACCGACAGTGCATTCTTGTGTGTTGATCAAGTCCTTATTGTCTGTGGAGGACAGATTCTTGGATGAGCTCCTCGTCGGAGAAACCACAGACGCAGAGAGAGAATTGCCTTTGTCATACACGATGTTTTACGACGGGCTGGCTTTGCCATTCCATAGTCTTGTAAAAAATGAAAGATAAAAAAAAAAACCCTAAAGAAACTAGAAATACATTTTATATTTGCATAAAACTCTGATTGCACCCTGTATAACAAAACAGCAATCTGTTGTGGTGGTATAAGAAAGAAATTTGAGCTTTTGAAAAGACTGAAGTATTTTTATGATGGTGTGACGGGCACATCCCAAAATAGCCCTGTTGTTTTCGCTTCTTTTTATCTATTGATAAAGCAGTTTCAATCTGACAACAGCCAACAAGAAAGACTTGAGTTATTTTGGCACATTAATAGAGATGAATGTCTGATTAAACAGCTGTGATGTGAACACTGTTTAAGCTTACTAAAAGCCCTGGAAGAGTAAATGAGTATAAATAAACTGCAGAATAAATACATATTAATTAAGTAAAAGCTAGTTACACCATAGTGAGAGTGAACGGAGACAAAGCAAAGCCAGTATAGGATGTTTCAGTCAAAGTAAGGCTGTACAATATGGATGAAATTCCACATTGTGATTATATTGCTACATATTGCAAATACAGTAATCCTCTCTTTATTGTGATATTATATCTCTGTTTTGAGGCTTCATTACTTCTTCATTAACATGTAGACATGATACACATATCAGAGCAATCAGCAGGACTTACTCTCTCTAGCCAGCATGAGCAAGTATCAGCAATTAATCCAGTTTGAAAAACAGACATAAATCCTCTCAATATTGTGATATGATATCTCTACTTTTATTATAACTTAAGTATTATAATCAGTTGTTAATATGCACCAACTCTGAAAATAAAAATGCTTTTAAAAGTATTGATCCAATTGCTGGCTATCATTGTTTTAGCCTGGATCTAAGAGGAGAGAAAAACAATAAAAATATGGCTACCTTATTCTAGTCATATAGTTCTTCATAGTAATAAGCAACTGAATGAGCTATCAGTATCAAACTGTTTTGCATTTTCAGGTCACTTTCTTCAGGTCATGATTTCTTCAGGCCAAAGATAACTAGCTGGTTGCAAATGTGTGCCTTTCAGTGCATTTACCCACTGTCTGTTGATAAAACAGTGAGCTACAGTGACCTCAACAAATATTGGCACCCCTGGTGAACTTGAGCAAAACAGGTTGTAAAAACATTCTTTATTGCTCATTCATTCATTCTGTATCTTTCATTCAAAATATGACTTTTATTTGAAATACAATGATTGAAAGAAAAAAAAAAACTAAATCTGATCTTGAAATAAATATTTTTCTCAAATCTACAGTGTGCCACAATTGTTTGCACCCCTTAATTTATCACTTTGTGCAGCCTCCCTTTGCGAAGATAACTGCTCTGAGTCTTCTCATATAATGCTTATTGAGACTGGAGAACACACAACAAAGCATCCGAGACCATTCCTCCACACAGAATCTCTCCAGATCCTTCAGATTGTAAGTGTGAAGCTTGTCATGTGTTCTCCAGCTTGTGAACTGTCCTCTTCAGCTCATCCCAAAAGTTTTCCATGGGGTTTAGGTCAGGGGACTGGGATGGCCATGGCAAAACTTTGATTCTGCAGTCAGTGGACATTTAATGTTTTCCTCAATATGTAAAATTTATACGGAAATCCAGAGAGGCCATGATGTAGTTATTATTTTCTGGATTGTTATTTTGACATAAAAGGTTAATTATCTGGTTAAAATTGTTTTCTTGAAATAACAAGTTACTTATCTTGTTATCTCAAGATAACAATCCAGAAAAGTATAGCAACAGCTCATGGCCTCTCTGGACTTCCGTAAATTTATCACAGTAATAGTGCATTAATATCTGTACAAGTGTGTTCTCTGTAGAGGATGTATACGCTTCACTTGGAAAATCAACAAAAGCAAATAATTTGACCGGGGGTGCCCAGACTTTTGCATATAAACATACTGTCGCACAGGTGCACATCCATTTATAAACATTCACTG